AGAGGCAGCTGGAAGCGGGAGAAGGCGGTCAAGTTTAATGAAATATAGCAGCTCCGAGTTCAAAGGCTCCACAGTAGGGCCCGTTAAGGGAAGGCCGCGTGATGGAGATGTTTCCAGAAGCTTTGTGACGCTGGAGTAGTTTCTCTTGTTTGTTCTTTTGATGAAGGGGGGGGGGGGTGAGCGAGGCCGAGGGGGGGCGGGGGGGGGGGGGGGGGCAGCCTGTTGTTCACCTTCCATTAGTGAAGGAAGCAGATTCCCTGCAAACAAGCGGATCGACTGGAGCATCTCTTCCTCTTTACCTCTTCCTTTATATTCCGCCCCCCTCCTGCAGTTTCTCCCGTCCCCTCATGTCACCCAATCGCTCCTCCTGTACCATTCCCACCGCCGGCGCGGTCGCCATTCAGCCCCACGTCAGATGGTGCCGAAGAAAGAGCCCTTTCTTCCCCCCGCCGGTCTTACCCTGCTCTTATCTATTGATTGGAAAGCCGAGAGGGGGAAACAGCCGGTATTGATTACCAACGCCGGGTGAAGCTGCTGGGCAGGACGTCTGGAGGGGTAAGAAAAGACGCCATTCTTCACCCTTGGCTGCCCCCGCCGCTGTCAGAACAGCCTCCACCGCCGGCGCTCCACGTACCCGGTCCCCTCTCGCCCCGTCACCGCCGCCGCCCCCTCCTCCCCTCCATCCCTCGCCTCGCCTCACCTCCTTTCTTGATTTGCCAAGGTGGCTCTCCCCCCTGCTTCCTTTCACTCTCGCTGGTTTGTGCCGATTCGTATCTCCAGCCTGTGAAATGTATAGCCGAGCGCGGCGGCGGCCTCTGAACAGAAGCTCTGGCCTTTCACACACTTCCCGAGCCGTGGAGTCTGCCTCACCTTCCCCCCTTTTTCCCCTCGACCCCTGCAGTCTCAAGTGGGTTTTTTTCACCTTTGTGTAGCTTTTTTGGTGCATTTCCTTCGACCTCCCTGCCGCGTTCCTTGAACTTGACATTATTTTTCCGTTTTGCCTTTTTGTTGCGTGTGTTTTATGTGCTCCTGAGGTCTTAAGCGTAATGGAGTATTTCCCTGGAAGCACAGGCTCCATTAAACGTCCTCTTGTGTTTAGAGGTCTGTCTGTTCTCGTACGGTCTGCTGAGCTAACACAGTGCTGCTGAGTAGGAGGACGCATTCTCCCGCTTCTATCTGCCGCTCCGCCTCGTACCCTTTTATGTAAATACTGCATATTGAGTAAATAATCACCACAGTCAGCCAACGTGCAAAAGCCTTTTGATGCACGAGTCATTTTTGCATTTGGCTTGAGATTAAGGAGCAAATCCCTTTTTTTATTTGAAGATGTTCAGTGTGTTGTTTGAACACCGTTGGGCGGACGGCGTTGCGTGCAGCATCAGGTTGATCTCACTGCAGCTGGTTGAGTTCCAGGTGTTTGCTGTTGGATCGGCTGTCAGCAGCCACGCCAACCCTTTTATTGACATGATTGCGATGACTAGAAAGCCCAAAGGACTTTGTATTGGATGAAAAATGCATGTACACATCATTACAAATCCACAGGTGTTTTGTACAAAAGAAAAGAAATGAGGGGGGAGATGCCAGCACATCTGTACATTTCTCAAGACTGGCCGCCTTTTGTAGTCTGTTTTTTTATTTTTATTTCCCTTCATGGAGGCCCGCACATCTGATCAACAGATCATTAACCCGCTCACAAGATTTTGTAAAATGACTATATTTAGTCTGAATCACAAGAAGGCCTCCTATTGAATGTGCCCCTTTCTCTTAAAATAATCCATCACCAAATTGAGCAAAGAAAAACAGAGCTAATTCTGAGAGTCGCCAGGCCTCCTCCTCCTCTTCCTGTGCTATGAAAGATCCCATTCACACATGGCGCTCGGCTATAATAAGGACCGCTGTACATACGGGAAAGCCCATATGGTCGCAAGCATTATTTTTTATTTTTTTACAGAGCAGCTAACGATTTTAACAATTTGAGCAAAGTGTTCTCAAAACACTTCACCGGTTCGTCGTGAATTGTGTCGATTCCCGTTCGTCACGGCCTCGCCAGCGGAACGTAATGCTCAGTTCATCAACCACGAGGCCGCATCAAAGGACGGAAGTAAAAACAGCAGAGAAAATTGCAGCTATGTTTCAATAAAGCAGATAAGGCCAAACATTTCTTACAGAGGGCCTCTGTGTGGTAGTTTTCCGAGCTTTCAACTCCAAGGTTAAAAGAATCTGTCCTTGAGACGGAGGAGGAGGAGGAGGAGAGTTACTCTTGAAGAAAGGATGGTGGTCGGGCACACAACACCAATACACATTAAGTTATTCAGACAACGTCCTTGATTTCTGCACCTCTACGTGCCTTGTTTTTAAAAGGACTTCAAAGGTTTTTGGGAGAGCGGAGATGTAGGGAGGAAATAATTTGTTGCACATTCCGTGCACTTAAAGCACCATTCCTGTTTTCCTGGAGACGTGCTGAGTAAAGTTCAAGAGCACATAGAGCGTTATTACAATCAGACAAGTAGTTATTGCAACATTTTTTTTGCTTTTTAAAAAGATTTTACCCGAAGAGTTTGCTATATCCAACAGGAAGCTATTTGATCATGTAAAAAAAAAAAGACATTTAAAGACGTATCCCTGCTACAAGGCAGGGGTGGAGTGTACAGTAAGTGACCACTGTCCTGAAAACAACACTGCAAACAGGTTTTGAAGTGCACCGTGTTTTATTTTTGCATATGGAAAAAGAGATTTCAGAAGTTTCCGCGTCTCTTTCCACTTTCTCAACCAGAAAGGAAATGTCTCTCTAGTTATCAGAGGTCTTAGTTTGACAGAAGCAGAGCCAATGCTGGGTTAATGTGTTGTGACATCTTGCTTCAGCTAAAACCTTCGACATGAATCAGGCCTCTTCAGTCCCCTCCGTTAATCCACAAGGAGAACCGAGGAGCTTGCGGGACCACAAGTCGGAAGAGATAACTGAAGTATATTTGTTCAGGTTTTGCCACACTGTTTTCACAAGGCGATTCAGTGTTTCTCGATCAAATCGGTCCGAATGAGCTCCAGCAGCCCCGGGCCAACGCTGTGACCTTTCCGAGTTTTCCTGAAGCAGAGTCTGTACAGTCAGGAGCTGAACAGGGAGCCGCTCTGTTCTGTTCTCCTGGTAGCAGAGGAGCCAGATATGCGCCAGCTGACAACAACCAACAAAAAAAACAAAAAACGGAGGTTGGCGTTTTCTTCGCAGACATAAACAATGACACTTCCAATTTCCTGTGCATGCTGTGTACCAGGAAAGGCCGTCCACACACAGAGGAAGTGCGAGTTTGTGTTTGTGCGTTCATGCGTGGTTGAAAAAACACATAGAAACAAAAGAGGTTTTCATCGTTTTTTACGCACACTTAAGTGTCACTTTTTTCCTGCTTTGGTTTCGGTCGGGTTTTTTTCAGCAGAATCGCTCACCAGTGCAGAAGTCCAGATGTTGTGCCTACATCCTAGGAACACATCTGTCTGCCATGGGATGGATAAAACAGCCAGATGGAGTTACCTGTGTCCCCCTCCCCCACTGGTGCCCCATCGTATAATGATCTTCTTGTTTACCATATGTGTGAAATGCACCAGAGGTATGTGTGTGTGTGTGTGTGTGTGTGTGTGTGTGTGTGTGTGTGTGTGTGTGTGTGTGTGTGAGCATGTGTGTATACGTGTTGGGAGAGGCCATGTGTACCTACCCTCCCCTTTTGTTTTTACTGCTACCAGACCGGCCATTTGTTCTGAAGCACAGACTCAGAACAAATGTGTGCTTTTTTTTGAGGGCTTTTGCATCTTGCAGCGGTTTGGGTTTGGTTGCATTTTCTTTCCCCCTTTCACGCCTCCAATCTCCAGTTTCTCTTCTGTCCAGTCAGTAATTCAGGGTTTGTTTGGGGTTTTTTTTTTTGGTCGGGGGGTTAGTTGTAAGCTGTGCGAGCAGCGGCGCAGGCCTCCTAACACCGTCACAGGGTGTTTCGGCCCGCTCCACTTCACCAGATCTGAGGGAGCAGACCTGAGCCAATTAGGAGCAGAGAGAACAGGCTGCTGTCAGTCTCACTGTGACCCCCCCCCACCCACCCCACCCTCCCAACCCCCCTCGGTCCCCCCACCCACCATCGCTTTGATCTCCTGCACGCAAAACCAGAGCCAGAGCACTTTACCCTCTGTGCGCAGGCCGTGTACGGCTGGACTCGCCCAATTACTACAATTTTGTTTCAACATTTCTGGGTAATCAGACAAAAAGATGACAAATTACCTCTGTCTCATTTTATCTGCACACAGCACATAGCGCTTTTTAGCCTTTGGTCAGGGAAGTCAGGATACTTTATTTCATTTGCTCATTCCGATACACCACTACTCTGTCCAAGCTTGACACTAGCGTGACACTTTGCTAATACACCCATTCGATTTTGTGATATTCTTTTTAATTGTTGGAAATGAAGGAATCTCCTCTCAGACCTAAAAAAAACCCCCTAAAACGTACAATGACAGCCTTCTACTCAGTTGGGCTTTTATCTTGAAATGTTTTTGTTCAAACAGTTTGGGCTCATGTTCACACCGCATTGTTTTACCTGCCACTTAATAGGTGAGGTTTGCTTCCACCAGTCTTTATGTTGCTTTTCAACTCCAGAACAACTACTGAATAGAGCTTCTGGAAACTGGAAAGATCACAGTTTCTTCAGAAATAGCTGTGCTTGTTTTTTTTCCTGTAGATTTCTGCGAATTGTACTTATTACGTATCATATCAAGAAAAATTACCCATTGACACACTTGGGTAATGCAAGTTGACTTGCATTGTTGGAAAGAGTCATGGTAAATACAGACAGATAAAGAAAATAGGAAATTACTGGAATACTTTAGTTTTAGTTCGGCACTATGATATTAAAAGATGTGGCACACCATCTAAAAATATTCACAGGACACATAAACAGCTTCGTAAACTCACAAAGATTAAAATGAGTTTTCTTCACCATTTTTTGTGTTTTGTGTATCCTCAGGACCTCCGAGGGTGTCTGAAAAGGTCGCTCACAGACAGATGGCCCGGCTCGGGAGCGCCATCAAGCTGCCGTGTCCAGTGGACGGGGACCCTCCCCCCCTCATCATGTGGACCAAAGACGGGCGCAACATCCACAGCGGCTGGATCCGTTTCCGTATCCTCCGCATGGGCCTGAAGATCAAGGAGGTGGAGGCGGATGACACGGGGACCTACATCTGCAAAGCCACCAACGGCTTCGGCAGCGTCAACATCAACTTCACCCTCATTGTCATCGGTGGGTGCACATGTATCACATTAGGGAGCTCCGCAGGTCCCTGAGATGAGATCATCTCGGGTTGTAAAATGTCTCACTCTTGTTAAAAGTTCAAGCTGCATTCAGCATCTATAAAACACAAAGTCACCTGTCTGATAACTGAAACCAGAGGCGATGGCCTGTGAGTCACACTCCGGATCTGAGCGATTGGGCCGCGTCGTGTTTTTAAGCCATTTCTTGTAACCCAGCGGTCAAAAATCTCCCAACGGTTTAAAAGTTAAAAGACGGCATCGCTCGCAGAGGTCGAGCTCTCGAACGAGTGGATTTATGGAGGTTTAGTGGTAGATCCTCTCGTCCATTGTACGTGTTACAGCCCCTTCCCCGCCCTGCCCAAAGTCAACAGCGGCATGGGATATTGTTTCATACTACTTCATCCTCTGTGACTCATTGGGTCTCAAGCTCTTCCTTTTCCTCAGGCTACACTCTGGGGAGGCCGGAGATCTGCTCCGCAGTGAGACGCGCGGTCGGTGTTACAGCGTCGGTTTGTCTTCAGACTTCGACGCGGCTCTTCGGTGGGGCCCGGAGGATTTAGCCACAGTTTGACCCCAGTGTGTTGCTCGCTTGTGCGCGTGCATACAGTGCATTTTCTTCTGCTCCGGAGCGGAGCGTGATGAATGAGCGGAGTGGAGCGTGAAGGCTGTGTTTAGTCTAATTACTCTAAGATGCCTAATTAGGGCCAGAGTCTGTGTGCTCTCTCTCTCTCTCTCTTCACTCAAGAGGATCTGCAGCCTGGTATTGTGACAGCCAGGCTTCGGAAGAAGAGCCGCAATCAGGCCGATGTGGGAAAACGCAGAACGGTGCTTTCGCTGGTACGGCACGCTCGCGAGTTGGGAATAGTCCGGACCATAGTTTATTTTGGGGTCCCCCTCTCACGAGTTGCACGAGTTGCCGGCGAGTTCAAAGAGAGGGTGTCTGCTGATTGTGCCGAAATGAAAGGTTGGAGACGAAGGCCTGGTGCCAGCTATAATGTTCAGGTTCATACTACAGTCGAGCTATAAAGTATCAAAGAGACACGGCTGTCTGTCTCTACGTTGCACTTAAAAGGCATTCTGAGTTTTTATATACGCTAAACACATCTTTGTGAGGCACATTCAGAATCCATCACGTGAAGGATAACAACCAACATGTCATTTCATGGTTTATTTTAAGGCTCTGTAGATTGAACACTGTCAACATCATGCAATTGGACTTGATCGAGTAGTTCTGTTTGAAGTTTTTCCACAGCAGAAAGAAAATGTGGACGGGACCGGAGCCAAAATGAATAGAAATAAAAAAAGTAACGTCACTTTTGAGTTGCAAGATTTGGCACCAATGCAAGAGGAGGATAACGTAGAAAATAAATTGACAAACAAACTACAAAAAGCAAGGAATATTTGATTATGCTCATTGTTGAAAATATAACAATATAGTTTTAGGTATGTGAGGTAAAATAACAAGGCAAGATACAAAAAGTGAACTAAGTAGAATTAGCAGATAAAAATGAAGTGCTAATAGAAAAAGATTGTTCCAACGGTTCCCATAAAGCGCCAAGACTTACATTTTTTACATTTTTCAAATAAATACTTCACATGCACATGGTAGTTGTTTTTGGATTAGATATTGATTTAAAGCATGAGAGGTGGAATGATTCGATGAATAAAGCCTTACACACACACACACACACACACACACACATCGGCCAGTTAATCTCTGTGATGGATAGAATTTTTTTCCTGCGGTGTCTTTGTGTGACGGATGATTTGTCTGGTTTGGCTTCTGCTGCAGAACGACTGAGTGAGAATGAAGACGTCAGTGATGACAGTTTAAGACTGATAAAGCTGGAATGGAATGGTTCAACCTGACTGCGCGTGTTGCTCCGTTATTACGTTAGGAAAAAATACCGTTGGAAGAACGATCGTACGTCTTTCTCTGAGGCACATTTCCATGAGATTTTTATCAGTGTTTTTGCCGTTCATGGAGTTACCTAGAGACTTTCTGGCTGGACTTTTAACCCCGATCTAGTTTGTTCCTTTTCCTGTTTGTCCTCTGGTGGTGGAGAGAGTGCATGACGGACACTAACCGCCCTGCAACTCTCAACAACCCTCCTCCTGCCCCCCTGTCCATCATCCCGCAAGGCGATGCGTTTGTTTTTATACATAGTTGCTCCATTGGTGCTGCATTGCATTCTGGGTGCCTTTTTCGCTCCAAAGAATAGAGGGCCGCGGCGTTGAGCTACTTCCAGGTTTGAACTCTAACTCAGTGGGACCAAATTGTTTGCAATTATCTTGAGCAACAGTTTCCATTAACGTTGAATCACCTAATTGTAAACCATTTGCCTTTAGTTTCAGGCAGTTAAATGTAGTGACCTGCTAAGAGGCCCATTGTCTTGAGAGGAGAGAAATTACCTGATTAAAATACTGCAAATGAAGGGTAACTCCCGGCTTAGCTCCACGTATCCATCATGTCAGTTTATTATTGCTTTTGGACAAAAAGCAAGAGAAGCAACAGCAGTGGGTCATAGTTGCCGGTCAGGGGAGATGCTGGCAGCTGCTCAAGTTCAAGGCCCAACACCAAGAGCATCACTTTTTAAAAACACCGCAGCCTGGGACCCAGCAGAGAAGCCAAGCAGAAGAAATAAAGCGAGAAAGACCGCAAAGCCTTGTGACCGAGAGAGTGAGGGGTTTTGAAAGGGTGAGGGTGTAAGGAGGAGGAGGAGGAGGAGGCGGCGGAGGAGGCGGGGGCTCCACTTCAGCTGGAGAGATATTCCTCCTCCCATCTGCCAGCGGACAGCCTGTCCTCCCTTGAGCTATCTGAAGAATCTGGTCAGTCAGTGCAACATGGCGCCTCCTCAATCCCTCCAGCTGGCTGTTTGGGCCCTGTTTGGGGTGGTCTCTTGACAACTGCCCCCCCCCCCCCATCACCTCCCAGGTCCCCCAACAGGACAGACTGGTGCATGCAGCAAACGTTCCGTCCTCAGCCGCTCAGTCTACAGCGGGCTTCTTCGTAGTATTAATGGGGGATTGTCATATTAACATCCACAGCGTCAGATTTTAAGGTTTGTGTCACAACAGATAGTATATTATTGGGGGTGATACGGGGGTCCGCGCTTCTCATTTTTTCTACTCGGACGGGTTTTCCGTTTCCGTCCCTCTCCGGAGACGTCGTCAAGCCGACCGTCGGACACGCTGGCCCGTGGGTGAGCGGTCACGCGTGGTAGCTGTGTGGAGATCTCCTCAGTGCGATGCAAGGCTACCGCGCTTAACTTTCCCTGGATATCACAATGTCCCCATCTAACATCTGGAGCCCATTGCGACCTCGAACCAATGGGCCTTTTCCTGCGATTCAGCTGGCACAGGAGGCCCGCAGGGAGGGTGTACAGTGACCGGTTTCCTGTGCCTGGGTTTGTGAATGAAGTGGGAGGGGATGGCGTCAGACCCCAAACGCTGTAGCGAGATCATGAATGGATTTAAGTTGTACGGTAACAATGGTGATTGCATTTGAAATGCGCTTGAATCGCGGCTCTGATTGAATTTCCCGCTGCGCACGGAACCTTTGATTTCATGCCGGGCGCAAAGCATTATGGTTTTGTTTCATAACTTGAAACAACTGCAGCACTTACTCACGAAGGGGCCTTTCAGTCACTCCTCATCCATCAATTATTTTATTTTTAAATCTTCTAAAAATAACAATCGAATGACAGAGCTACCTCGCCCTCGTCTGCAATTGTGGTGAGGGGATATTGCGTTGAGACAATAGTGGATAGGGAAAGCTTTAAGAGGACAGACGTATAAAAGGCGCCATTGTTCCCTAGAATCGCCTAAAAGTAGAGAGGAAATAGATTCCGAAAAAAAAGAAGTCAAAAAGAAAACCCCGGCAGCGTTGTGTTTGGATTGGGAGGTTCAGGAACCGGGAGGAATGTGCAGAGCCCAAGTGAGCAACAGAGAAATATTTCTTCGAGTGGAGGCTGTTTTTTAACTGGAATGGGTTATTATAGTTGGCCAGTTAAACCCCTTTCAAATAGCCATGACATCATGGCTGGGCTTGGTGCTGCAGGGGACAAACAAAGGAGGGTTTGTACCCAGAGAACCCGAGAGAGCTCTGAGGGTTTGGGGGGCTCGGAGGGAGGCAGAACGAGGTGGAGGGGGGGGTTAGAAGTCACATCTGGCCTCTTTACCTGACCCAATCAAACCGTGAGAGGGAATTAAGTGTGCCAAATCGCATCTAGAAGAATCCAACTTGAGGCTGCAATGAGCTCAGAAGCAAAGACAAAAAAGGTACAAACGGTAGAGAACTGGAGCAAAAGTAACGACGACTTATCTAATGTGAAATGACAGCGCAGTAGTATCCCATCAAACCATTTAACAGCAGCCCCTTCAATAATCATCTGCCTAATGTCACTTCGTTACAGACCAAAATCCTGTGAGGAACCCGATCCGCTGTGTTCATTCATCAACGCTTAACTTGAAAAGTTAGAAGCTTCACAAGCCGTCGATTAGGTTTCACTCATTATATTTCCTCTAAGCCCCCGTCTTAGCCGCGCTGCATGATGTCAGCCAATGACATAAACTCCACAGCTGTCTCCTGGAACTGGGCACATGAAAAGTGATCACATTACCACCAAATGCTGCAGAGTTTGACCCGAGCGAGCACCCTGCTCAGTGGAGCCAATCTATAAATGATAACCGTACCCGTGTGGAGCCAAGAACACTTTGCCGGGCCTGTTTGGGGTTGTGTTGCGGCCGCGGCAGTGGCTGCTGCGGTGACACGGTTGACGGTAACCAACACAGGAGACTTGAAAAGTATCAGTATATCTACAACACCACAGTGTGCTCTTCCAAAAAACAGAATACATGAATATGAAAATGAATAAATAGCATAGTAGTTTCATTCTTGATATTGAAGTCAATGCATAAAGCGTTTCTTTGCTGCCAGATTGAATCTTTTTCGGCTGTTGAGCATCTCTCGTCCCGTGTTAACAGATGACTCGGGTGCTGATAAAACTGGAGCCGGGGCGGCGGATGGAGCGGAGTCCGACTCGACCACCGTTGGCTCGTCGGATATATTCGGTAAGCGACCTGTTGGCGTGCCAGAGTTTCGGCACGTTCGATCCAGTTCCCTACGAATCGCATCCGATCCGACTGTCGCCAACCGTGTTTTGCACCCCACTGTCAAGTCAAGTGACGAGTTCGATGTTCCGCCCCCGTGTCCCCTTGCAGTGCGCCCGCGCTTCACCCAGCCGGCCAAGATGAGAAAACGGGTGATAGCTCGGCCCGTCGGCAGCTCGGTGCGGCTCAAATGCACGGCCGGCGGGAACCCTCGGCCGGACATCGTCTGGCTGAAGGACGACAGGCCGCTGACGGAGAAGGAGGTCGGCGAGGGCCGTCAGAAGAAGTGGACCCTGAGCCTGAAGGGCCTGACGCCAGAGCACAGCGGCAGATACACCTGCAAAGTCTCTAATCGCGCCGGGGAAATCAACGCGACGTATAAAGTTGAGGTCATACGTGAGTATCCCGCCGAGAGGTGATTCACTTAAACGGTGACTGATGTTCCTTTTTCGGCGGATTCATTTTTGTGATCTGTTTTGTACTGTTGCTGAGGGGAAAAATAACCCTTAAAGAAACCTCTGTGATCTACCTACGGCGTGCGTCTGATTGCGATCAGCAGGCTCATATCATTGATGCATGGACGAATGTGCTCGTGTAATCATCTATATGGGAAACATATTGAGGAAGCAGGCTTGAGACTGAGGGCCTTGTGCCATGGTGTTTGCACAGGAGGGGGGGAGGTGTGTGTGTGGGGGGGGGGGGGTTCCACCCAATCTGGACCTGTTTAAAACCCAGCTGTTTGCCAAAAACCCCCCCCCCCCCATGAAAAATGTGTGCTGTACAACCCGGAGCAAAGAAAGCGAGGAAACTAATCACACATACTTCTTGTGTTACATGTGGTAACCCTCCCTCTCTGTCAATTACAACTTCTAAGCCTGTGGCTAATAACGGTATGGACGAGTAAGACCTCTTCTACCCGCAGAAGTGCTGTCATGTAAAAAAAAAAATATATATGGATATGTATATATGTGTGGGGGGGTGTGTGTTTGTGTCTTGATATTTTGTCCTCTGCTCGCCCATGCAGAGAGGACAAACTCCAGACCCGTCCTGACCGGCACTCACCCGGTCAACACGACGGTGGACTACGGGGGCACCACGTCGTTTCAGTGCAAAGTGCGGAGCGACGTTAAGCCCGTCATTCAGTGGCTGAAGCGCGTGGAGCCTGAAGAGGAGAGCCGCTACAACTCCACCATCGAGGTGGGAGACCACCGCTTCATGGTGCTGCCCATGGGGGAGGTGTGGTCGCGGCCCGACGGCTCCTACCTCAACAAGCTGCTCATCACGCGCGCCAAGGAGGACGACGGCGGCATGTACATCTGCCTGGGCGCCAACACCATGGGCTACAGCTTCCGCAGCGCCTTCCTCACCGTGCTGCCAGGTGACGTGGTGTTCCAAGTGCACGACTCGCGGACACACTGGCCTCAAAACCTGTTTTGATTTTTTTGATTTTTCTCCGTCGAACCTCTTCTTTTCCAGACACAAAGCCTCCCATGACGCCCGTGTTCTCGCCGACCTCCAGCGCCCTCCCCTGGCCCGTCATCATCGGCATCCCTGCTGGAATAGTGTTCATCTTTGGCACGGTGCTGTTGTGGTTTTGCCAGAGCAGAAAGCACTGCCCCCCTCCCGGTGCTCCGGGGGCGGCTGCCGCCCAGGTACTGCAGAGCTCCCACCGGCTGCCGTATCGAGAGCGGGACAAGGGTGTCGCGGCGGCGGCGGCGTCCTCCAGCTCATCCAGCCCGGACAGAGACTGCATGAGCTCCTTGAACTATGAGGAGTACCTGGCACAGCAGCACCACCACCTCCTCACGCAGGGAGGGCCGACCATCCCCCCTAAAATCTACCCCAAAATCTACAGTGACATTCACACGCACACCCACTCCCACGTGGACGGGAAAGTACATCAGCATCAACACATTCATTTTCAGTGTTAGTCCCAGTATCCCCCTACGAACTCGTCCAGTATCCCAGAGGGACAATGAGCTCTGGACTCAGGAGCATCCCATGAACATCATTCCCCCGGCTCTCCGTAAAGATTGTTTGGAGAGTGTGCATGAAGAAAAACGGCCAGTGATACACACCTTGTTTTTAACAGCCAAACTTCCATAATCGGTGCTTCTTTTTTTTTTTTGTCAGATTCTCACACCACTAAAATACATTCATCCTTGTTGTGCACTTAATACGAAAAAAGAGAAGGACATTGTTGTGTTTAATCAAAGCTATTCAAGCTGAAAGGTTTATTTTTCCCCACTTGAGGTGCAGCTGAAAATGGAGGGGGAGGTTTTACCTTTCACTTATTCAGCTGTCGGAGCGCAGGGGCTCCGTATGTTCTGCCCGGTAATGAGGACAAAAATGGTCCACAAGATTTACAAAAGGGCAGCTTTGGTGCCCTACTCAGGTTGTCTTTGTTGAAGATGCATAATGTTTGGAACGCTGACCACTATCCTTTTCCTGTCTCCATCCCTCACCGTTGTTCTCTGGTGTAAGAGTAGACCAGTGGGTTATTACAGCTCTTTTAGTGGCATGGAAACCTTGCCTGAGAATCTAAAAGGGATGGAATTGCATTTCCATGTTAACTGAATTGGTCTTTTTCATCATTTTAACTTCATGCAGGCAATAGCATGTTGAGGACGCCACCTTATCCAACCAGTTTATAAAGCTGTAGTCATTTATAATCAAATTGATTCTTGGATATTTAATTTATTTTGCTAAAAGTATGTATCAAAATGTTATTTTTCAGAGGAGTTTTACACATCTATGTAATGGTATTAAAGTATACTGTTGTGATTAGTACATTGAGTTTTTGTCATTCAGTTTAATCACATTTATGCAATTGGTACCTTGACAATCTTGTTTAATTTAAATGACCTGAAACTAGTTAGTCACCAGCCAGATGAAAAAAAAAAAAAGCAACAATCCTAAATTCAGAGGCGGTTATCTGTCCAAAAAGATAACAGCAGAGTGGCTTTCAGTCAGCTTTCTTTTGAGCGAGCTGAAGTGTCCGCTGAGGGATGAATAACTGAAGAAACAAGAGCAGTCTCAGTGCTTTTTAGATGAGTGACGGCCCCTGCAAGACTACACCAAGTGACCAGCATCGCCTCCCATTTAAGTGACTCCGCCCCCCTCCCTGCGGTCCGCACGACCACCACCACCTCATTCAACTCCAATCTAGGTAGGGTTTCCTTTCACCAGTTAGGAGGTGCATTGTCCTGCCTGTGGGAGTGATGTGAGCGGGCCCGGTGATGGTTTAGAGAAGGGGAGCATTGTACCAGGTAAGCATTACAGGAAAGGGATGAGCTTTGGCTCCAGACGGATGAGGGGGGGCGGGGGGTTGAATTTGATAGCTTTGTGTGTTTGAAATAAGTACGCAGAGAACATCACATTGTCAATATCACAAAGTAACACGACTTCCATATTCGTAGGGCCTCAGAAAGTTCTGGGGTCAAAGTTAATGCAAAGACTGCCCCCTGGTGGTTTATTATCACGCAGACAGACTCACAAACTTCTAAATCATCTTTATTAATTTTTTTTACAGTAACACTGAAAAAGACGAACAAAGTACACAAGAAAATTATCATGAATGTAATTAAGAAAAACTAAATATACAGTATTTACAAATGAGTTTAACCCTTCTGGACTTTGGTGATGAGTTCATCACAAAGTTTGGTGAGCTCTTCAGCCTCCTTCTCCTGTAGAAATAAAAGACCACATTTTTAAGTCTCATCTTCAATACATCTGGAAACACACTCCAAATCAAAGTCTTCCATCACCTTCTGGTCCAGGCTCTTCTCCAGCGACTGCGCCTTCAGCTGCTCCCGTCGCAGCTGAGCCTGAAGCGCAGAGACCTCCGCCTTGTTCTTGGACCGCACCTCGGCGATCTCCTCATTTGCACTAAAGAACAATGAATGTCAGACACAGTCGGTCTTGCGATTTAGACTTTTGACGCGTCAAGATTCCTTACAGGGAAATTTTCTCCTCAGCGTGGGCTTTAAGCGTATGGTAGCGCTGCTCTTCCTTCTTGATCCTTGTCAAATAGTCCTGAGCGCACGCTTTCAGGGTCTCTTCATTCTGGGGGAATGTTACAGAAATCCATTTACCAATCAAACCGCCACAGCTTTAAAAATATGCCACGTTTGTGAGGGTTAAATATCAGTTTTCGAACCTTTTTGTAGCCCTCAACAACACCCTTGTACTTCTCCAGTCTCTTGAACAGGTCGGAGAAAGATCTCTCCATGGCGTTCAGGTCATTGGACACCTGCTCCTTCTCCAGCAGAGCCTCGTCGAGCTTCACCTGGGCCAGATCCCTCTCCTTCTCTTGATCAGCTAAACAAAAAAAAGGTCTTGTTTAATCATTTCGTACAACTAAAATTCTTGATGCAATTTATATATATATATATTGACGTACCCTGCATTTTTGCCATCACAAGCTCAAATTCTGCAATTATTTTCCTGTGAAAAAACAAGTTTTTGTTCAGACAAACATTGTATTAAAATGACAAACAAAATTGAACTAAACTCAGCTTACCTCATTTCTTGAATATCGTGAAGTTTCTGATTATACTTCCCACTCCATTGCTCCTCTTTTTCCTTTCCCTATTTGATAAAAATACATATTTATAGTAATAGACTAAAACCAGGAAGAATATGTACATTATTCAGAAACCTAAATAGGGAAATCTTATGTTTGACATTTTCAAATATGTACAATTTGGGATTGTTTGGAAATCTACTGAATCCTCACAAAAAGTGATTTCTTCTTCGTGTTCAAATAGACTCAAACAACGTGACTTCAAATGGAAAACCTTTTACTACTGTCATTTTTTAAAAATCATATAAAATGGAGTGGGACATACTTCGGCCTGGACCCTGGCGATGGCTGCGTCCATATCTTTCTGACTGTACTTCAGCACTTCAATGATCGCCTCCTCTGTGTTCGCTGGCTGGGGGAAAGCAGCCTGGACGACAGGAGATGCATGTTGAATATTTTATCTCTTTTTATGAAAAAAAAAAAAAAAAGGACCAGACACAGTCAATGGTCATTTCCAGAAGGACTTACTGGTGCTGTGGCATCAAACAGTTTGAAATCATCCTTCTGTTGTTCGAGTGCAGTCTCATACCGTGACACAAAGGCAACGGGGCGGGAGGCGTTGCCGTGAGCAACGGGGCCTGCGGGCTTCTTGGGGCTCTCTCTCATGAGAGGGTCAAATTTAAGGTACAAGGATTGTTTCCTCAATGCGGATTCCTTGAACTGTTGACACATTTTTTTTATTTTATACATTTGAATAGGCTTAGGTCGGTTGTTGACAAGCAAAGACCCAGTGTTGAGTCATTCAACATGCAGTAAATACTTACATTGCTGGACCCGAACTGTTCGAGGTAATCGATTTGCCCATCCAAGTCACTGGCCATAACTAGAGATAAAGACCATAGATTAAATTCGGGGGGGCTTTCCATTTCATACTGGTGCAGAAATAATGTAAGCCGATTGGACTTTTTTTATTTTTATTAACTAAAACGGAAATGTACCAATTTCCTATGTTTACTTACACAAATTGCCGGGAACAAACTCGTCATTGAACTGCGACACGGCGGTCTGGGACTGTTCCGGCGGGCACAATTCAAGACCAGGAAGACTCTTCACGGGTGGTTCAGCTTCAAGCAGAAGTCTGTTGTCTTGGTGAGAAGGAGTCTTGGCGTCGGGGTATTCAGTGGTCTGTCATTCCAGGAAAATAAAATAAATGTTTTTGTAAAAGCACACAAGGGAAGTTAAATGGGGAGGGTTAGGATTGTATTAAACTGCCTCACCTCCCTCCCCGCTCCCACGTCGGGTTCGGCTGCAGCTTGGACGCTCTCTGCAGCACTAAGGAGGGCAAAAGACCAACTGAGAAATTAAGTTCACTGCAAATACATGCTTAATGCACCCTTAAAAAAGTACACATACCATGCTGATGATCCAGAGTCCTTCTGAACAGGCCTGTCCGCCTGCTCTGGAATGGAAGTTTCCATGAGCATGGGGCCGGATTTCTTGCCGCACATTGGAGAATTGTTCATGCTTGCTTTAGTCCCAAAGGGGTTGTAGTTTGGGTCATCGAACTTGTCAAAGTCAAACGAGTAGGACCCTGTGGGAACGGGAACATCAGCGACGTCTGCGGCATCCGGCCTCGCCGGCTTCCCAGTCGGTGGTTTGACGTCACACGCCGGCTTCTCCTCTACAGGTTTCACCCCCGCTGGCTTTTTGCCAAATTTCTTGGGCGGCGGTCTCCGTTTGACCTCCCTGCCGTCGTCGAAATTAAACTCCAGTTTAACGGCTCCTTCCTTGATTGGGGCATCAGCTGGCGAAGCGGTGGATTCAGCAGCGGAGGCCTCGGCGGCTTTGGCCGAGTCCACAGCAGGTTTCTCCACAGGCTGAAAAGGCCCCTCTTGAATCACCTCAGGTTTATTTTCCTTAATCTGTGTCTCTTCAACGGAGGGGTCAACGCCTGCCACTGTTCTCTCAGGCACAGGAGAATTCTGGATTCTAGAGCGGCCGGTTCGGAAAGGATCGACCGCGTCAAGGTTGTCGAAATCCACGGTGTAAGCGCCTTTCGCCGGCAGCGGGGCCTCTTCCACGAAACCTCCGGACGCTTTGTCTTTGTGGACAGCAGGAGACATTTTAGCCGGCTCGCTTTCCCCTGATGTGGCAGTGCATGAATCCCGGACCTCGTCTGCCGGGACCTTCACCTCCATCGCCACACCGCGGTCACTGGAGGAGACGTCGGCCGGTTCCAGCGCGGCTTGAGCCGGCTCAGGCACGTCTACGTCACCTGTGGGTTCAGTTTCTTTCTTCTGTGTCTCCTCAACAGGTGGGTGAGCGTTTGGCACTTTCCTCTCCGGGACAGGTGAATTTGGGATTTTAGAGCCGCCGGTTTTGAAAGGATTGACCGCTTCAAGGTTGTCAAAATCCACCGCGTAAGCGCCTTTCGCCGGCAGTGGGGCCTCTTCCACAAAACTGCCTGAAACTTTGTCTTGCTGCACCGTGGGAGACATTTGAGCAGGAAGCGTTTCCTCTGGTGTGGTGGTGCACGAATCTGGTACAGTGTCTTCCGGGACCGTCACCTGAGTGAGCACACTGCAGTCAGAGGAGAAGTCGACCAGTTCTATTGTTGCTTGAGCCGGCTCCGGCATGTCGACCACGTCTGTAGGTCCATTTTCTTTTTTCTGTGTCTCCTCAACAGGTCTCTCAGGCGAATTCTGGATTTTAGAGGCGCCGGTTTGGAAAGGACTGACTTTATCAAGGTTCTCAAAATCGAAAGTGTAATCCCCTTTGGATGTCAGAGGGGCGTCTTCCAAAAAGCTGCCGGACTCCTTGTCTCGATTGACATTTGGGGACAGTCCTCCGGGTTGTTTTTCATCAGGTGTGGCGGTGCAGGAATCTTGTTCCTCTACGCGGGGGACCTTCGCCACTGTGACCACGCTGCTCTCTCTGGAGCTGAGGTCTGCGGAGACGTCAACCAGGGAGTTTTCCACAGACTGGGTGAATGGAAGCGTCTCGTCGAGCACCGTTTCTATTTTGGCGGGCTCCTCCCAGTTATTCTCACGTTGAGACTCCGGGGCCTTTTCGACAGAGGGCCTCGCGGGAGACAGCGGCATCGTTACCGAACTCAGGAAGGGATTGATTGAGTCGAGGTTGTCGAAATCAAACTGATAACCTCCTTTGCTTTGTATTGGCATGTCATCATCAGGGTAAGAGGACACCTCTGTAGAAAATTCAAGAAGATGATCACCAATGCAGCAAATTGAGAATTAATGGAAAATAAATAATAATTTTGTAACTTCATAACCAATGTTGGATGAATTACCTTGTTTGGGCTCAGGCTGCTCAGTGGCCTCTTTTGGTAAAGTACTATTAGGAATGAAAACGAATTGGTTACCTAAATAGAGCAGTCATTTATTGGAGGAATGTTGCAGTACGATAAACGTTACATACGTTATTTTATCAAAGTTTAAGGACTCAGCCCCTTTTGTGCACTCGCCCACACTTGCCATCTTGACCAACTTGCTGGGAGATACAATTCTCTTCGTCACAGGGTCTCTTCTTGGAGTCTGAAAAGCCACCTACACAAAAGTAACTTAATCAGTATTATAAATGTTACCTGTATGCAAGACGTAAATATACAGGAAGCAGAAAAGGAAAGTAATATCCAGAATTTTCACCATTGCCATACCTAACACAAACTAGCACAGTTTCCAAATTTAAGCGTGGGACTTGAGCTTTGTCAACTCAACCCATGTGTTTATGAATAAAACTTTTTTTTTAAGGTGTTAAACGTTAGCAACAATAACAACAGGGAGCCATCTATGCTTCAGATTGACAAAGACTTTGCTTGGTGACTCGTACGCGCATCATTTTCAGCCTACGGTCATTGTGGCGTCGTTCATAAATCGAGATGAGGACACAACAATTCACATGCACTCTGTACCTTTGTGCCCTTTGGCACCGTCTTGCTGGGCAGGTTCTCGGTCTGACGCAGGATGGAGGGTCTCCCAGTTGGCTGATCCAGGGCAAAAATGTCGTTAATAGAGCTGTTGTGCTTTCCTCCAGGACAAACCCCACGATTCTCATCATTGACGTCAACGGAACTCATCCTGTGAAAGCAGAGGGACGAACAAAGTTAGAAAGGCTGCAACGATCTGATGACTCACTAAAGGAGGCGTCACCCTGAAAGCTGCACCTAGTTGATAAGACACTTTTGGTTGAAAGGTTTTACCAACCGGTGTAAAAAAGATCAACGCAGAGAAAGGTGACGAATGTTTACAGCGGAATCACGGGAAATGTGACTCGACAATTCAACTGTGCTGGTGGATCACGGTTGGCACCCGCAACAACAAACAGAATCCCATAAAGTTGAAATAAGATGAAGCTTACATGCAACTATGCCGTGGGCTAGACCACCAAGTCAGCTGATATCAGCGCACTGCTGATATATGTTGGTTTCAAGTGTACATGTTGTGCCAATATAGATTAACAAAATTGATTACAGCAATGCCAAAATATTTGATAGAAAATGTGCTGCCATTACATACTTGGTCCACTAGAGGGCGCTAAGGTTTATTTTTCAACTGTAAAAAGTTCAGTACATGAAATTCAAAACCAATGTCAGCCAATACAACAAACGAATCAAACTAACAATACGGAATTATTAATGGAACTGATAAACGAGCTATAATAAATCGGCTATATTGTGAGTTTTGGAAAAAGTGGATTGATATGATAAAAAGCGATGACCAGAGCAGACTGATGTAGATCTGACACGTCCTAGCAGGTTAAGCAAAGAATTCAGTTACATTAACAATTCCTTTGCTCAATTTCATGGATACAGGGGCCCTGTAAGAGTTGTATGCATGCATCGTTAATGTTATCAAGCACCTAGTTATGCTTTTCGTGCAAATATGTCTGCTATGGAAAAGATCTATTGAAACATGATTGGGTAAAATGTCCTCAAGCCATCGTAACACTGACAATGAATATTGAACCTCAAAAGTGATTATTGTCTCACTTTGTCACATGATGAAGGATTTTATTGGTTTTGATGTCCATACGTAGTGCGTTCGTTTGAGTAGCGATTACACAAACGTCCGCTTTCAATAACTTGCTCGCAAATATCGCACACACGTTGACAGATATGTGCAAACATCGATGCCTCGCCTAAGTGGACAAAGACGCTTTTGAATTCGCGGAAGGCCCCTAAACGGTTGAATCACGACATATTATGATGGCACACGTCAGTGAACCGTGTGTAACGTCTAATTCAGCGCGGAGGAACGCTGAATAACTGGGATTTGCTAAAGGTATCATTAGTTAACGTTAGCTTTGTCGTAACATCCACCAACGTCACCGTGCACTAACGCTACGAGCTGTTGACGTTACCGTAATGCGGAGTGAAACGAACACGTAACAACAGAAGCAAGGCGCGAGTTACTAAATGATTAGTCTACATTCACAACCTTACCTCACAAAAAAATACCAGATGAAGTATGTCGATATTACAAGGTCTTTCGTCAAAGCATCCAACGACCGTGGAGGGCTGGTGTGCTTTTGAAAAACCCTCGCCTCGCCTCGCCAGCAACCGTTTGGAATTTAAAAGTCTTGAAACGTACCAATGAAATCGCGAGAAACGTTCAAAGGAAACACGCTTCCTGGTTAAGCAGCCAATCGCGCTGGAGAACGGATATGAGCCAATCAACGACAAATGTCTGTGACAAAGACAATAGACGTGGCAAGATGGTGAATGCCTACCAACATTTTCAACTCGCTTTTAGTTGTCATCTGGACCTTTTTATGTGCATTCTACGATCAGGACATTGACTCCACTAAGCGCATCCAAGTTTGACATGTTATTACAGTACATTGTTGAATACATTTGAGTAAGACAAAAGTAAAATGTCGTTTGGTTTGTATGAGGGTTATTGGAAGTGAAGCAAGGAGACTTTTATCTCTCATTTGTTGTTTTTCTTTTGTTGCGAACATACTACTAATATATACTACTCGTGATAGTATTTGGGAATTTTCCTGATTTACATGCACATGAAATCTAAAGCTATATCTGCTGTGAAGAATTTTACCTTCACGTGTACGTCTCGGTGGACATTAGGCGGCAGTGTGAAGAATGCTCACTGGTTTGTAGCCCTACCTCACGGAAGAAGAAGAAGAAGAAGAAGAAGAAGAGACACAAAAATACGAAGAAGAAGAAGGATAAGACGTACTGCGCGCCAATTCCGAAAGATGTAAACATTGGCTGCTATAAAGAAAGAACATTTGTTTCCACATAACGTAAAGAGGGAACATTTTTTAATCTGTCAACAATGAATTCCAGCGGAAAAGGTAACGTTAGCGCACCAAACATATGTTGGCAACTAAAATGCTAACGTGTTTTGTTTTTTATGGTAACCCTAGCCTAGTTACTTTTATCTAACGTTAGCAGTTAACGTTTGTTGGCTAACGTTAGCTAGGTCAGCTAACTCCCCTTAACGACAAGTAACGTTACACCATCTGTCATTTGGAATGCGCAGTTATAAGTTGACCTGGGAACGTAACTAACGTTAATGAAGCTAAGTAGCGCGCATAGAGTCCGAATATATTCTTTAAAACAGTTCTTAATCAAACAAATATGTTTACAGGATCCGGCGATTCAAGTCATCTCGTTGGCAGGTAATGTGACTTTCACTGGATGCTTTGCTTGTTTCAACAAGAAAAACAACACTGATGTTAAAATACGTTTCGTGAGCCAACATTAAAGATACAAAGTAACTGTCGTGCGCGCGCGACTGTGTGTGTGTGTGTGTGTGTGTGTGTGTGTGTGTGTGTGTGTGTGTACTGTGATTTTCAATTTCACATTTGGGTTTAATAACGAGAGGAGCTCGTCTATTAGATCTATTAGTTTTTACATCCGCCAAGCTTTACGAGCAACTGTCACCTGTTACTTTTCATCGTCCAACATCATCAGCTTAACTTTCATGTCCTAAAAAGTTGTATTTATTTTTCTGGTACTACAGCTGTGATGGCGATTCCATCAAAGTTTTTGTGCGAGTACGACCTCTGACCCAGAGCACAGGGTTGACCACTGATAAAGATCAGAAGCTGTGTCTCACAGTCACCTCACCCAACACCATCCGTCTGCTGTCAAAACCAGAACCACGAACCTTCACATATGATCATGTTGCTGACATGGACACATCTCAGGTAGGAAGCTTACAAGCTGAAAACTACCTCGACAGACTGATAATAACCAAATTGATCAGCGCAGGATGTGTAAACTTACAAAGTTGGCCCCGGTCGGTTTGTGTTCGATTTTTATATTTTTCAACAGGATTCTGTGTTCTCCAGTGTGGCCAAGAACATTGTTGAGTCTTGCATGAATGGATACAATGGTACTATATTTGCCTAGTAAGTGCTCTCCATGTTTGATGAAATTGCACATATTTTATGGCAGAATTGCACTACACATCATACGCAGCTGCCATTTAATCCCCTAATCTACTCTTGCTTCTCTAGCGGACAAACGGGCTCAGGGAAAACCTTCACCATGCTTGGTGAGAATTCAGTAAATCATTTATATTGTGTACGACACATATTTTAAAATCAAGAATAGAATAATTGTGGTGACTCTTTTCTTTTCCATTCTAGGACCATCTGAGTTGGATAACTTCACAGATGAGCTAAGAGGGGTCATCCCTCGAAGTTTTGAGTACTTATTTTTTCTCATCAACAGAGAAGTGGAAAAGGTGAGCTGTAACATTTCATCACCATAAAGTTCTTGTAAACTAATACGTTGTGTTTGTTTTTCTAATTAAGTTGTTCTTTTTTTCTAAAAGTCTGGCCAGTCCAAGAGTTTTCTTTGCAAATGTTCGTTTATTGAGATATACAACGAACAAATCTATGACCTTCTGGACACTGCCTCAGCCAGCCTTTTCCTCAGGGAAAACATCAAAAAAGGTCTTTTTGTTGAGGGAGCTGTGGAGAAGTTTGTCAACTCAGCCGCCGAAGCCTACCAGGTATAAATCCTTTTCTTCTTGTGATTTAGTTTATTGGGCTGTATGAAAACTGGTAATACTCTCGTCTGACTATTAGAGTGGATGAAAACCACATAACATAAAGCCATATTTTATGTAAAATCTGCTTGAGATTCATGGAGTGTCAAATCATTACAGAGTTGAGTGACCCTTAAATGGGTAATGTATTTAATGCAGGTTCCAGTTAAAGAAATGCACCTTGGATGTGTACATCATTTGTGTTACTACTTAGGTGCTGTCTATGGGCTGGCGTAATCGCCGCGTCGCCTCCACCTCCATGAACCGAGAGTCTTCTCGATCTCACGCCGTGTTCACCATGACCTTAGAGTCTAAGGAGTCTATCAACGAAGTGGTAAACATCCGGATGTCTCAGCTGAACCTGGTCGATCTGGCAGGTTCTGAAAGGCAGAAAGACACACATACAGAAGGCTCCAGACTCAAGGTGAAGCTCCACCCATGGATCCAGTCTCATACTGAGAGTCTTTGTGGCTGACGGATATTGTCTCAATTGTTTCTCTTTCAGGAGGCCAGCAGCATCAATCGCTCTCTCATGTGTCTTGGTCAGGTGATAATGGCTCTGGTCGATGTGTCCAATGGGAAAAACCGTCACATTTGCTACAGAGATTCTAAACTCACCTTCCTGTTAAGGGTCAGTGATTTTAAAAACAAATTGTAACTTGACTGTGGCTTTGGTTTAGTTTAGTTTTTTTTTTTGTTGATTGATTTGATTTTGATTCATTATGGAGTCAACTTCCCTGGAATTATTGGTTTGGTGTTTAGTAGCATAACTCAAATGCAATTACAAAGTAAAATACCCATTTCCATCCTTATAGTATATATATATATATATATATATATATATATATATATATAAAGTTGAAATTTAAAAAAAGGAAGCATAGAACTTTTGCACTTTTCAAGTTTGGCTTCACATTCATTTATATTTCTGTTTAATTTGGTAGAATATAATACGAAATGTTCAGATCGGGTTGTATTGCACTTTACATTTTGAATAGATCTTATGCACTGTAATGATTATTATTAACATTTCAGGATTCTCTTGGCGGAAATGCAAAGACTTATATCATTGCCAATGTGCATCCTGGTTCTAAGTGTTTTGGAGAAACGCTGTCCACCTTGCAGTTTGCTCAGAGAGCAAAGTTGATCAAGAATAAGGTATCTGTCATCAGCACAACTATGTACCATATACTCGGTTTTACCATATTAAAACCGAGTAGATGTGACCAAGTTCGGGTGATTTCAAAGAGCTCTTTGTCATCCATGTGCCATTATTTTGTTTTGCCAGGCCATTATCAATGAAGACACACAGGGAAATGTGAGGCAGTTACAAGCGGAGCTGAAGAAGCTGAAAGAGCAGCTTGCTCAGTCACTAACTTTCCTGCCAGTGGACTGTGGGAGAGATGCAGCGCCAGGAGGACCTGAACTCCCTAAAGGTGACAATACACGGAGCAACAACACATCCTTTAACTGTACCCTTTCCTTTATTATTCTGCATAACTGTGTAACTATGTATTTCCTTAAGAATACTGTTACTTACTTGATTAGAGAGTACTATGACGAATATGTTCATATTTAACTATTGTATTGCGGTTTGAGCTGGCGTACCTGCGCATGAGTGAACAAGACTGAGACGTGGTATTTGCGTTTTAGTTTTAGATGAAATTAAATAAAATTGTCTTTATTATTTTACAATTTGTAAAATGTAACAAACTTGTAACAAAACACAGGCAGCTGTATTGCGTGCACCTGCTATGTTTCTTTTCTACTATGTTTCAAAAGTATAATTCAGCTTTTCAATCCATAGAAGGTCAACAGGAGTCCTCATATAAAGCAAAGTTTATGGCTTCTGTCCGTCTGTGGAGAAAGGGCGAAGAGGAGAAGAGGGTATGGGATTTATTTAAAAAATGTTTGCGTTGTCCTTTGGGGAAAGGTTGTTCTAGTGTTGGTGCAGGAAACTTACAAACATGTTGTACACTCAGATGCTGTTTAAGAAAGTGGCTCAGCTTGAGGAGGCCTGGACGCAGAAGGACAAGTTCATTCACTCGAGCCGAATGATTATCAAGTTTCGAGAGGACCACATCCATCGCCTCGAGAACAAATTGAAGACGGGACTTCAAGGCTCACTCTCCGACAAAGAGTCCCAGACTCTGATTGATCGGCTGAAAGAAGAGATCATGATCTTGAGAGACCAGGTATGACATCTGATACAACTTAAACACAGCCAAACCCATTAGTGATGACTGTATATTTGTTGTTGATGTTACAAACACAACTAAATCACTGAATATGTGTGAATTAGACATTCGGAATTGAAAACACTCTATTGATCTTTTGGAGGAAATTGATACATTACAGTTGCTTTACACAATGTTGCAATATAAACAAGATATGTGGAGAAAATGTATGTCTAACTATTGTCTGATGTTCTGCACCAACCGCCAAGTCAAATTCCTTGTATGTCTAACATATTTTGGTAATAAATTTTCCTGATTCCTGATGATAAGCACAGGAGACATGGAGGAGAGGTTTGTAACTTGGAAGTGTGTTTGATAAAAATGCAAGCAATGTGAAACAGACTCGTACTTGTCTGACGCATGGCTACTGTAGAGAAGCTATAGTTTAGATATACAAAACATTCTTTTTTATATTCACATGATTTATTATTTACAATTCATCATTCTATATATATTTTATTATCTGCCCCTTTTTTAGGTTGAACATCACCCAAAGATGACGCGATGTGTAGCGGAGAACTTCAGCCTCAGAGAGGAGATCCGTCGGCTCCGTTGTCTTGAATCCGCTGTAAGAGCTGAAGAAGATTCGGTGCAGGTTGCGGCGGAGTTGGAAGAGGCCTTCCAGAGGGCTGTGGAAACGGAGAGACCCACAGAGGGTAAGATAACACTGCTTCAGTGGAGCAAATGTCAAATAAATGTGATGCATGTCTACTTTGCAATAAACTCATGTCGCTCCACAGTTCTACCTGCAGATTCTGTCCCGGGTGCTGCAATGGAGAAGCTGAAGGCTCAGCTGCTTCAGAAACAGTGTGACCTCACTGGTGTATTTCAGGCCTTTGAAGAGTACAAAGAAATCACTAGGTGAGATGATTTATTTAATGAAGAAAAACCAAGCTTAAGCAAAAACCACATGGGCGTATTTCAGACAAGCCGAGCAGATCTTTAGGAGCAAAATAATGTGTCTTTAACTAGTAGAGCTCCTTTGTGAACACACATTTCACTCTTTCCCCATCAGTAACGAAGTAGTCTACAGCGCATGTCGTCTATAGCGCATAGTGAAACAATGTCAAAGAAAAAGGATCTTCGTTTCCTGACTTACATTTGGGCTGGTTAATATAAAGAAATCACATATTTCTGTTTCATTCATTTTATGGTGACAATCCACTATTTGTATACATTGAATCATATCATTTCCCAGCTCTGGATTTCTTTATTCAGGAAGGAGCAGGTTTTATTTATTTTTTGCAATGAAGGGTATTTTGTGATCTTCATGAAACATGCTGTTTTTCATGCAGTGCCTTTTTTATAAGTCTTACGGTTCAGAGCTTAATGTGGTTTTTGGATGGTGCTTTGTGTTCTAGCAAACAGATGTTACAACTGGAGTCTGAGAAAAGATACCTTGACAAGTCCAACAGGCATTTGGAAAACATTTTGGAAGCCACAAATGCTTACAAAATGAAGGAAGTCTCTGAGCTGAACAGAATTCACGTTGAAACTATAAAGGTGAGTGCATGTGAAAATTTAAAATCCAGATGACCATAAACCAAACCTCCCTTACCTCTTTTGCCAAGAAGGTTTTGTTTGTGTCTTTTCCTGCCTGCTAGATAGCATGGTGTTGGTGGAGGTCTGTACTCATCGAGTGCTCCTCTAGTTCAATGTTTTTGGATTGTCTTGTGTAATTATCTTTTATCCTTCCCATGTCTGTTGTACCAGATTCTTACCACGCCCACCAAAGCACACAGCTTGCGGACCCGTCTTGTGCCTCTCTCCAGCCCGGACCACCTCAATGGGACGGACAATGATCCAGACAACATTTGGACGGAGCAGCTTCCTTCAGACACGGCTGAGATGGCCTTAACTGAGGAACTCAGCCAAGTGCAGGTGCGGCAGTGTGGAGTGTCCTCCAAATGTTTGTCGAGAAGTCTGACTTGTCACTGTCTCATAATTTCTCCAAATCCTCACCAGGAACAAGCCTGCCGTGCGCAGACACAGTTCAATGAGGAGGAGCTGAAGAACAGCAAGCTGTCACAGCAAATCACAAAGCTTGAGGAGCAGATCGCTCTGATGTCAGAAGAGTGTGACCGCAAGGACGAGGTAGAATCTCTTTGTGTTCCTCCTTTTCGGTTTTGCCCTGTCAAAGTAATGTAATGTCAAAAACATTTTTTTTTTTTATTTGACATGTCAGATTTTTGAAGAAAAAACCTGATGCCCTTTAACTTTAAAAAAAACAATTCTGTTCACGTCTGATGCAGCTACTTTCTTGTGAGCGAGCTAACCGAAACAAAGACCAACTCAACCTGCAAGCAACAGTCTGTGAGCTGCAACAGAGCCTCCTGTCTGAACAGCAAGCAGCACAGGGTTAGGATCAGATATTCATCCTGTTGTGTATGTGAGATGGAGGTGGTAAAAATGGCGCTGTGGGGACAACTCTTTCCTCTTCCTCCTTTCAGTGCTGAGGAGTGAGGTCTGTGATCTCCGCCTGGTGCTGCAGTCGTCTGATTCCGAGCTGGCCGCTGTGAGGAACGAGCTAAGAGATGGCCAGAGCGAGAGGCAGAGAGAGACGAGCCAGCTCTCCGCCAGTCTGATCAGCACACAGCTGCGGCTGGACAAAGTCCAGTAAGCAGTACTTTGATACCTCTGCAATAACACTTGTGCAATGAGACGAGTGATTCATGTACCCACGTGTACCGTGTCTTCGTTGCAGGATGGAGTGGGAGCAGCTTCTGGAGCAGCATCGGACACTACAAGATTCATTTGACCAGCTCCAAGCCGAGGCCAAGTTTGAGGCTGATCAGGCAAGACAGCAGCTGCAGGACAGGCAGCAAGAGATTGCTGAACTGCAGGCACGGCTCACGGTCAGTGAGCTCATGAACTCACCTTTTGACATTTTGCAAATTTACACCGTTGTCTCTGAACTGTCCTTCATTTATGTTTTCTGTTGTAGGATTTGAACAGTTCTCTGCAGACTGAGCAAGAGCACACAAGCACCCTGATGTCCCAGTTGAAAGAAAACAAAGAGAGTTCATCAAAGTAAGTGTGTTCAAAGCGTTCTACTTTTTAAAAGGTTTTCTACACTCAAAATGACTGTGTGACCTTGTTGTGTGCCTTCAGAGAAATTATTGAAACCGTGGAGCAGAATACACAGCTTAGAAAACAAGTCTCAGACCTGACACAACAACTTCAACAACAGGTCAGTCCTAAGAACAGAATGCATGTCTGAAAAGAGAAGGTATTATTACGACAGTAAACCCAGCTCAGCATCTTCACCTGGTTGTCCAATTTTTGTTTTGAAGGCATCGAAAATGAGCGATCTTGAGCAAAATTCCCTCTCTGCCAACGAAACGATAAAAAGCTTGGAACAGAAGATTGAACAGGATAAAGTAAGCCTGAGTGATTCATCCTCACTTATTTCTTATTCCAACCAATGTAATTACTTTGCTACCGTCCTAAACACACCCTCCACCCCCCATTGTGTATTGTGACAGGATGTTGTTGTAGATCTCATCAACCAAACCCGAGACCTCCGCAGTGAGCTGAGCCAGAGGGACCAGACCATGAGCAACCTGTCTGGGGACATCAGAGACATGACGGTACGTTACTCTTCCATCTACTCCCCTTTTTTTTTATTTTACCTTAAATAATGTCACTGTTTGCCTTAGCAGCCAATTCCTTTACCCAAGCGCCTCATACTGTAGATCGGTTGAATGTTTAAATTAGACATGCTTATGACGATATCAGTGTCACTCCTCCAGGCCAAGTTCAATGCTACCTGTCTGGAGAGGGAGGATATCCGGGAACACAACTCTAAGATGCAAGCAGAAATCTATGATCTGAAAGAATCTTTAGACAGACGGGTAGCCTCCAACCAAATAGAGGTACGTTTGATCATGTTCAACACTTACATTCACATACATTTTCAAATAGTTATTATTTTTATTAAAAATGTTGTTATTTTAGATTTACTGCAATGCCATATTTATAGTGTGTATCTGTACTCAGCTGGAGGTGTTGCAAGAGGAGGTCGTCTATGCCACGGAAGAGGTTGAGAGACTCACTAAAGTCATTGATGAGCAGAACAGCCTCCTCCAAGCATCTCAAGAGCAAACGTCCCAGAAGGATATCACGATACAGAACCTGCAGCAGGAGGTGACAATCTTTTGTTATCATCTCAACACAGAGCAAGTAACCAGTAAGGTCGAACCAATCTACAGAAAACATTTTACCGAAATGACAAAACTCTCCCTCTTTCTATCAGATTCAACAACATCAAGAAGCCGTTGAGAGAACTTTCCGAAATGGGAATTTCAAATCCTTTATTGATGTTACAAACACACCTAAATCATTACCCCGGGTAAGAATTGCCCTTAGTTTATTATTCATTAACATTTGCAATAAGAAATTCCCCCTGAAAACCTTTCCCCCGTCTCTATAGACACCCCGCACTCCAGGAAGTTTCAACAGGGACTTGACCCAGGTGCTTGAAAGCCAGGAGAGGGAGCTGGAGAACCGCCGCTCCTCCATGATGACCATGGAGATTCTTTTAACGGAGCTGAACACTGAGAGGGTTGCCAAGAATGAGGAGATCCAAAGGCTCAAGGTTTGTCTTTGAAAGAATTGAAGTAATCTAGTGTAGTTCAATTCATTTTATTTTGTATAGCCCAAAATCGCAAATTACAAATTTGCCTCAGAGGGCTTTACAGTCTGTACACATACAACATCCTCTGTCCCGAAACCCACCATCAGCACAGGAAAACTCCCCAAAAAATGAAAAAAGTGTCTTTCACTGCTAAATCTAAAAGGTTTTTGATAACTGCGTTAAAATGTTTATTTGTTGATATTAATTGCATTGCTTTTGAATGAATGCATTGACATGTTTTATCGATCCTGACGTGATCTGTTTAAAGTCCATCAATATTAATAATAGGATTTCACTGTCCTCAGATGCAACTGACCGAGAAAGAGATGGTCCGGATTCAGATCCAGTCTTTACTCGACCAGTTTTACAACAAGCAGGGCCAGCTGACACCGAGTGGAGACAACAACGGGTAGAGTTTATTCATCATTTAGCTTTCCACTGCCTAAAAACGCAGCACATCATCTGTTGTGGATAATGTTAGTTGTTGGAATGCTGCTTCAAAAAATACTGTTGTCAAATTTTTATTCAACTTTATTCTTTTATTTCTTCTGCTGCACCTTTCAGCTCCTTCATTTTTAGCTGTTAAATATTCTATTTCAGGAGAATGGTGCTGTGATGTCTTGAGGGTTTTTTTCAATGTCTCTTCTCTCCAAACGTATTCTTCAAATTTCAAATCCTTCTTCCTACAGTCACCATTTAAACTTAAAAAAAACTATTTTTTAAAAACCACTTTTTGATATCTATTCAACTTTTTTGAATATAATTTTCAGTGTGTATGTGGCCAGCTGGTCTTATTTCTGACTGCACAGACATATAAAGGATATCTCTGCGGAGTCTTGGGTCTGGGTTGGATTTATAGTTTTGCATCTAAGGGAACTTGTTTAAGGCGTGGATTCTAGGTAAACTAGTATTTCTACGGCTATTAATACTAAAATACCAGTAGTACTAAAAACATTACTATTAGAAGCAGTAATACTACAACTGATGTTACTACTCCTACTATGACAAAAACAACTACTAGTATTTGTACTGCTAATATTACTACAAATTATAATATCAGTATTATTAATTTATACTGATACTATTGCACTACAACTGATATCATTACTACTACTAATACTAGGACAACTAATATTTGTATTGCTATTGTTACTGAAAAGTAACTGATTTCAGCATTCCAATGCATTTTCTGCAGGAACATCATTTTCTAGTGTTTACTGTCATTTTCAGTGAAGAGTTGAATGGAGCCATGAACCAAACTATACTTAAAGAGCTAAAGGAAGAGAGAGAAGAGAAGGTTTGTGTTTGTTTATCTACTAGCTTTATTTTCTCTGTTCTGAATAATCCGTTATTAATTGGTTCACCTCTCATTAATTAACAGAGCAAAATAATGCAGAAGCTCTCAGAGTCCCATAAAAGGTAAATCTTAAGCGAATATGCTATTTGCTATCGTATTTCAGGTCTTTTGATTAATGCTTGATTTGTGTGTTTTTCCTTCTGTGCGCCGTGCATAAGACTGCAAGCGCAGGATTCGATGTTGGCCCAGTCCCAAACCTGCGTCCAGGAGCTGACCACCGAGCTGAGGAATCGCTGTCTCGAGTTGAGAGACCTGAACCTGAGGGTGCAGGATGAGGACAAACTTCTCCAGGTCTGAGTTCGGAGGGGAAAATCATCTTTCACTTGCTAACGAGTCGCTGCTTCAACTCTAGGAGATTGACACAATGTAATAAGCACGACCATAGATGTTGCGCCATCTTTGATGGTCCGATAATGTGGACAGTTGCCGATTGCACCGTAAATATGTTTTGTTAAAGAGATTTGAGGTCAAGTTGGCAGACTGGAGAGTTATACGTTTTTGTATTTAAGAAGATTAACGTTCCAATTTGAAATGATTTGGGAGTGAAGTTACACATGCTCTAAAAACTGTCAAACTTAACACCGATAATGAATACTACGGTCCTTTATAGTGTATAAGAAAATTATATGATATAAAATATCAGAAAATTGGATCATCGGATTGCATGTCATACATGACTGGTAACATTATTGTTGTTCTTCTTTTTTCTGTTTGACAGGAGAACGAGGTTCTCCGCAGGCAGAATGTTAAGCTGTCGGAGGAGAATGGGAAACTTGTGGGGCATAAGAACCACAAACAGAGGATTGAATATCTGGTGAAGCTGAAAAAGGACAACACCAAACTTCAAGAGGTAACGAACATTTCTTTATATCAAAGGATTTGTATTCTTTGACATGTGAAAACTGTCAACTCATTACGTCAATTCACTTTCTGTATTTTTCATGTTTTAAAGGAAAATGAAAAACTCAGGACAGAGATGACATTATTGCGGGACAGCGGTGGATATCCACCACTGGAGATGTCATAAATCCTTGATTCTTCAAGTGTTTGAATCTCTGTAATTTGCTAAATCTTTCCCAGTAAAAAATATTTTATTCATGCTTTTTTAACAGCATTGAAGTGGTCAGGTATTTTAATGGTTTAAAGTAAAAATACATTGTGGGTTATGTTTTTTTATTGTCTAATGTGCAGAAATGATTTAGCTCGTAATCATATTTTTTACACCTACAAATTGACCTGGAAGCATACTGTCCCTTTTACATGTATCTGATTTTGCAGCAGAATAAAAGCCACCAAAAGTATGGAGAGGCTTGTTTGGATGAACTCTGCATCAGTCTAGCTCCAATCCCTGTTGGGTTTCCTTTTTAGATGTACTTTTTTTTCTCGGATTGCATGCAAATTACAAGAATGCACAATCTTAATGTGAAATCTGGGCATTTTTTTGTGATTATGTCTAGTGCTGTTAATGTACTGTATCCACCATATAGTTTTGTGTATTTTTCCCATCATACTGAACTGTTAAGCCAATGCATTTTTTAAGAACAATGAACTCTTAAAAACGTTTGATACTGTTATTAAAATTGTTGTTATTGAAAAGTATTTGGTGGTATTGTTTCCCTAACAGTTGCAATAACGGGACTGTGAAACTGCTACGTACAAGGTGGCAGTTGTAAAGTACATTTACCACAGTAAAGTACCTTTTACTACGGCGCTTCCCTGTCTGGCGGCCAGGGGGCGATGTGCTCCTCGGTAGCGCGCGGCTTCCATCAAAAGCGTTTTAAGCGAGCGGCTCTGCCGAGAAAGAAATGAGACGATTTCAAACAATTAAAACATGAAGAAAGTCTTCACCGCGGAACAAATTTCCGATTGGTTCACCTTGGGCACGACGTTCGCTAACGTTAAAGTCGCAGAAAAAGTGGTTGAAAGAAAATGCGAGGAGGCGTCGTCGAAAGAAAGCAGGTGAGAAGCGAGGCCAACTGACGCTAGCTTAAAGGTGGCTGACCGTCTGTTAGCTAGCTAACGTTAGCATCCTTCGGTCCCTCTTGTGTCTTTACACTCGTATTATTATTAGTTCTCCCTTCCTCTGTCGGAGTCACTTGTTGAAAATAATTAACTGTACATAATGCTAGGTTTAAAGTTATGAGTTGGGCTGACATTCGGTAATGAATCATGTTAAAATAACTGCGTCGGTCTCTCGGAGCATTCCACGTGCATAACAATCGTTTTGTAATGGCTGATGAAATTTTAAACTTTGCTGATGTTACGGACAGTTGGACCTGTGGACGCAGTAAAAGCGAGGTTTCCAATATCATATGCTCCACAATGATAGCTAACAAACGTGTGCTAACGCCACTTCGCAGAAAGGCTTAAAGTCAGGTGCCAAGTGGCTGGAAAAAGTTTGTCACTCAAGTGAAAATACTTTAAAAGGGTTCCAGCACGTTATCCTGGGCTCTCTATGCCCCACATTTAGAAAAATACTTTAATTTAAATGTTTTTTAAAGTGTCTGTGTACCACATGGTGAACAATTTAGGAGACCGCAACTTTGCCTTTAGGGCTTTAAAATCCGTTCATAGCGGGAAAATGTTTTTTTCACCACAAATTATGATTTATTTAGTATAATAATAAAATGATTGCAATTTGTCTGAATGATTTGAAAGCCATAGCTGATTTTCCTTGTGTTGAACACCAACAAACCGCAGCAGAGCTTCCTCTCACAGTTTAGTGCTGTACGCCCCTGCGGGCCTGAGAGGAACTGGAGAGTAATATGGAAGGTCCCAGTCTCGATTGGACCCTGCAAACACATCGGAGTGCCTTGTGGCCCGATCCACATATGCAGAGATCGTTGGGATCTCCTCCCTTGGGTTGTCTCTACAGTTGGGGACGGTTGGTGCGATGAAGCCCTGCTTCAATAAGTAGCAACTGGTCCAAGTGTCCATTGGTTGGAGCTCTGCCGCCTGGACTGAGCAGTTCTCCTCTTCATGCTCCTTTTTGCTGAGGAAGTCCCTCAGCAACTGCTTGAAGACGGAAGACAGCTCCCAGGGCCTTATGTTGTTGGTGGCAAGGAGATCATGAAACCTGCAATAAACCAATTGAGTTCAATGAACACTTTTTGAAAGATTTGCATCAACATAAAGTTAGTGTACCAAATTTTTTACTGGCACTTTTTTTCTAATACTGTATAATTGAACGAGGGGTCATTCGTTTAAAGAATGACATTTAGCAAAGCTTTTTAGAAATGGTGCAAACATTTCTCACTCAAATACTTTGTTCTTTGCTAATGTGGTTATGTGAGCACACTGTAGTGACCCAGGAAATTCACAAGAATGGCAAACTAGTAAGTAGGTCACAGTGCTCTATCATGTAGACTGTTTTTCTTAATATAATTATGGCTAACCTAGAGATAATGATTAGAAGCCCTCTGGCAGTCTTGCCTCACTCATCCTTATGGGACATCCTTCACATGTACACACCCTACGTCGCCTGCCTCTGTGACAGTAACACATAATGGCTTTCTTGGCAGCTTGCCACGCCTCCCTTCCCCTTTTGGGTCTTCTCTGCTTTGTCTGCTGTCAGGCCTTGTGTTGACGCAGCAGCCGCTTGCCACTGTTGACGGCATACTAATGTGAGCGTGGCGTGGTCGCAGCAACACACCTTGAGAGCACAGTGGCTGCGTGGACGGATGGAATCTGGGCACACAGGAACTCCAGCTGGTGTAGCTCTGAAGTGGGGACGAGGCTCCGTTGCCTGGGGTGATTTTGAAACCAATGGAGGCCCACGCTGTGGGGCTGCCTATGCTCTCGATCCAGTTCCATCACCAGCCGCTCACGCTCTTCCACGTGCCACAGGAGCTCTCTGATCAACATGCGGCTGGGAACGTCCCCCGAGGACCTAGAAGGATCCACTTCATCTTGAGCTTGCACTTTTATTTTATGGGACCATTTCATCCAGCTGAAAAGGGGCATGGCAGTCCTCGCAGACAGTACTGAAACTAAAGAAATAAGACTAATTTATTATTCCGGACCATGATGTCCGCATAGCACTCCTAACACATTGTAATATGCTGCAATATCGGTTTCCTTGAGTGCTAATATCTCTACAGGTTGCACCTACAAATTTAGATAGCAAGATGGCATTAGACTATGGGACAGACAGCATAACAGCAAATGCAGCAAAAAACATGCAAAAATTACAACATGAACATCATTTTGGAAAATGAAATATGAATACAAAATCAGTTAACTTTTTCTACCTCTCGATGATGGGGGGGGGGGAAACTAAATGTATCAAGCCCTATTTTTGTCAACCGTGTGCTAATATTTTCAGCGTGTGTGTGGCCGTGGCCCGAAGGGGACGCGATCCTCTCGTAACCAAGCTATCTGATCCCTGCCGGGTGAAAGACAATTTCTCAGGTGTAGGTATTTCTCCTTTTTCCCAAGACTGATAGATTGCATCCACTACAGGGTCAGAGGTCAGCTGACCCCGAACCATTTGGGTAACTTCAACTTTCAGGTTTCAAACACAGCTTTTCATTTTATTTAATTCCATTTAAACAGCTGTCAAGTATGTGCAGGAAAACATTTCTTGCTCAAAAACGCAAAGGAAAGATGTGTACTTACAGGTGAAAACTGCACCGCTGATGCTTGGAAGATTTGGGGAAAAGACGAAAGTACAGCCTCCAGCTTCTTGTCTGCATGGGTCAGTCCATGTGAATTTCATACCTTCACTTGATTACAAATACCTCCCTTGGAGTTGGATGCCATTGAAGAAGCACTTGCGTACCGGCAGCAATCCCCCCAATGTCTGGCCGTTGGAATCGTTTTTTCCTCCTGTGTTATAGTTGTTGTCTTGTCTCTATCGTCCCTCCCCCTGCTCCTGTCATGCTGACTTTTTTCAGGAGAGTTAGTCACACATTGCAAACTGACTAGGAGCTGTCACCTCTGCTCTCACCCCACTTGCACTCCTCTGTGCAGTGTGCAGCTTTGTTGTAAGGTCAGCTGCATTTGAAGCTTGCACGGAATGTGTGCATTGGAGAGAAAGGAAGCATGTGCATAAGCCGTGGGTGTGTTTTTATCTGAGCTCCTCTGAGGACTGTCAGGTTTTTTTCCCTACACACACACACACACACACACTCTTTGACAGAGTGAGAGGCAAAGAGAACTGAATGCTCTCCCAACTACAGTGCTTTGGGCCTTGTCCACCAGAAGAAAAGGTTTTTGATTTGATGAAACCTTCTATAAATACAGCCTTTTAATTTCAGCATGTTGCTAGTACATGCAACATCATTTTTATTCTGTAATAGGATTATTACCATACCAACTAGTTGGTATAAGATGAACAATGGTTTACTGAATGCTTCACCAGTTTATTGTTCTGAACTGTTCTGAAGGACAGGACAAGAAGGACTTGTCGATCACAAATTAGTCCAGAGGAGAGTAAATAGATTTTTTTGTTTACATAAATGTAACTGGGGGACTGGAGGGGGCCGTGGGGCAATGTATTTGTTATTAAAGCACCAAATATATTAACTGATTAACATTGCTTTATTTTTTTTAGCCCGGATGTTCCTTATGAGTGCAGCCTGAAAAATGTGAACTCTGATAGCGGACAGTTTAAAAAAACGGAACACGGAGGGAGTGAGTATTAAACTTTGCTTTAGTCTTTTCATAACCTGCATGATACTCACTCGAGAATCTGCCTCCTGCCCAAACCGGTCTAATCCTGTTTCTTGTGGATTTTAATCTGTGTCCTTAGGTACCACTCCTCCACTTGCTAGCTATGAGTACCCTAGCTTGCCCATAACCAAAAACAGACAGAAGGTAAAATACACCACATACCCTCAACCCTGCAGCGAGATGGTCTCAAAGTGCTCTTCCATTCTCTTGTAGAACTTTCTATTTTGGTCATGTAAGGAGTTCCACTGAAATTACCATTATGTCCTTAGGACAGCAATGCACTCAAGCTTTTACTGTTTGCTCGAGATTAACTTATTGTTATTTCACGTTGCATAATAGGCGATTTTAAACTGACCTGAATTAAATGTTTTGCAGACTAGTAAGGAGTAGTTTGTGTAAATGTTTGCTCATGCTGTCATTGAAGGCGTACTTTATTTTTTCAGTTTTTTGTAGTTTTGCAGTGTGGATTGTAAATCAGTTTTTTCTCCAACTGTGTACTCACGTTTGCTTGGGTTTTTATGTGAGTGAGTGTGTGTGTGTTTCTTTGTTTTTTCTCCCAGCTGATTTCCCTCATAGAAAACAACTCTGTAGTCATCATTCAAGGAGCCACGGGCAGTGGCAAGACAACCCAGGTGCCACAGTACATTCTGGACCACTACAATGGCAAAAATACCGCATGCAACATTGTGGTCACCCAACCACGCAAAATTGGGGCCTCCAGTATTGCACGTTGGGTTGCCACCCAGCGGAAGTGTACACTGGGTAGTCTGGTGGGATATCAGGTAGGTGCCACATTTAGACAGAATCGGATTAAGTTACTGTTTAAAACAGAAATGTGCGCCTGTACATATGTTCATAGCAACTACCACTTTTTTGTCTGTTTCACCAAATGTTCTTTTTTTAATCTTAATTGTTCTTTAATATTCAGATTTTTTTTTTCAAAGAAGAGCTGTTTCTTTGTTTCTTTTTTTTTTTTTCTTGTCTTGTGAGTGCATGGAAAGTTATTTTATGCTCAAAGTTAAATCCGCAATGGATTTCACCCTGGCTGCTCCATGTCTTATGTCAAAGTGCTCCTGTGCAAGACACCCAACCCCTCCCCGGGGCGCCCTTACGGCTGCACACTGGGTTAAAAATGCAATGTAAGTCGCTTTGGTTAAAAGCGTCAGGTAAATGACATGTAATATAATATGACCCTGCATTGAGATGATGGATTATGGTCATCTGACCAACTAAAGTACCAACAGGAGCGGTTGTAGGGTCCTTTTGTCTGATGGTCCAGTGAGACTGGCAAAAAGAGATGGTACTCAATTTGTGTGTGGTGTCCAGATGTATCAATACAGCTCCGCATATGTGTATTCCAGGTTGGACTGGAAAAGACGGCTACCGAGCACACAAGACTCATATATGTGACTACAGGAGTGCTGCTGCAAAAACTGGTTTTAGCCAAGTGCCTCACAGAGTACTCCCACATTTTCATCGATGAGGTACATAAACACAAGGCATCATTCTCTTTTTTTGTAAATTTTGATTTATGGTAAAGACGTGCAGTTCCCTCATGGAGGACAGTGTTTAATTCAAGTTTATCATTTTATGTAGGTATTTTTAAGTTTTACTTTTGACTTCTATGATGTGATTCCTCACAATTGGATTCAAGCCATTTCAATGCTATGACTTTGCCCAAGGTTCATGAGCGCAGTGAGGAAATGGACTTCCTCCTGCTGGTTTTGAGAAAACTTCTTCATTCCAACTCATCTTATGTCAAGGTAATTGCAAGATCAAGTAAAATCCCTTTTTTGTCCTCGTTTTGCATCAATTGAACTGTTAATTGTTTTGTTATGTGTCTTTTCAGATCATCCTTATGTCAGCCACTATTAACTGCAAAGAGTTTGCTGACTACTTCGGAAACCCAATTTGTGGCAAAATGAACCCGGCCTATGTATTTGATGTGGAGGGGGTACCCTATGCAATTGAGGAGTTTTATCTAGATGACCTCAAAGCACTGTTTTCATACACTGCAGTAAGATGGAAAATGTTTTCTGATGCTAATGTGTTCTGTACCAAAGCCAAATGGTTAATCTGTGAATGTAATGTATGCTTGTATCAGACTGAGTTGCTTGATCCAGAGGACCCCCAGATCTCAGTGGAGATGTACAAACTCTCCGTCAGTCTCATACAGAGCTTTGATGAGATGGAGGGCAGAGATTCCAGGTGAGGCCTTATTATTTTAGTACACTTGAGTGAGAGTCAGCTCAGCACCCATCATTTTATTTTGTATTTAAGCAGCAACGGCAAAGAACAGACTTCGTCAGAGCAGGGCAGTGTGCTTGTTTTCCTTCCTGGTATACATGAGATAAGCTACATGCAGGAGGCCTTGTCCCAACTGTTCCACAAAAGGTGAGCTTTTGCGTTGAATTATACCCGGTAATAAAAGCCTTTTCATTGTCTGTTTGCTGGACTACTAAATTTTGTGTAATTCAATGTTGAATGTTTACCTTTATTGGAACACTGCATGTTTTGCTGTTGTTCAGATTGCAGGTCTATCCTCTCCACTCCAGTGTGACTCTAGAGGAGCAGAATGGTGTGTTTCTTCCCCCTGTCCCAGGATACAGGAAGGTAAAAAAACAATAATCTTAATATATTCCAACGTTGTTTTTAGTACCTGCTGTACCGGATGATGTCTTCATTTTACCAGGTCATCCTTTCCACCAACATCGCAGAGAGTTCAGTAACTGTTCCAGACGTCAAATATGGTTAGTTTTCCCCCTCGCTTGCTTTTATTTATTCCCTTACTTTATGGTTTGTTATTATTTATTTATAATAAAGTATTTCAAAATTGTAACTGTATTGAGGCTTTTTTCCTTTACAGTAATTGATTTCTGCCTTGCCCGTCGCATGGTCTGTGATCGAGAAACCAACTATCAGTCTTTGCGGCTCACCTGGGCGTCCAAAACCAACTGCAACCAGCGTCGAGGTAAAATTCTTGCAGCACAGAACTTTAGCGCACAAATTTTAGCATCTACTAACTTCTGTCCTTTTTTACACTTATTTCCCCTCTGTCAGGAAGGGCAGGTAGAGTTTCTAAGGGCTACTGTTACCGTCTGGTCACCAAAAAGTTCTGGACAAATGAAATCCGAGACTACATGATCCCTGAGATGCTGGTAATAGAATGTCCACTTGCCATGAGATTTCTATTCCTTTTTAAACGCTCCTTTGACACTAAGAGGACAACCTTTGCCATACTCTCCGCCTTCCTCTCAGCTGGCCCCGTTGGCCACCATTGTGCTGAAGGTCAAGCTGCTGGATATGGGAGATCCGCGCTCCCTCCTTTCCACAGCCCTGTCACCCCCCAACATTGGAGACATAGTGAGGACAGTGCTCCAACTCAAAGAGGTAAATAAATATAGATTGAGGATTCTTCCCTTCGAGAGCCCTCAATGTCGTGTCAGAAATGTGTGGTATGTTTGGTTTTATTTGGGCTGGCAGCTGACCACACAGATCTGTCGTTGTGTATTGTAAGAATACGTGTTCGAGATTTGGAGCCTGGTCGGGGTTATCAAAAATTCAGCCGAATAACTTCTCTCGTTCTGGAAAATTTATTTGTCAGATCACAGGTCAAGTATCAGCGCTGCGTTTGCAAAGGCAGGAGCAGTTCAGGCAGCACACAGGCCGGAAGAACAACTAACTAACATCAGCAAGAACATCATGTTTTATAACCCTTGAAAGACAGAGAAGGAAATATTTCTATTGGCCCTAAACTGGCGTAGAGGAGGACCTTCCACCTCCCGCATCTAAGATCCGGTCACATCCAATGTCCAGACTCCTGACTTAACGTAAACATCATAAACAGAGTGTGTATGTTGAATAGTGTTGGTGTGTCTCTAACCCCCTTTGGCTGGTAAATCTTCTAGTTGACCCGCAGACCTTACATTCCTCAGCCAGGACAAACTGACTCCCCATCCTGTCGGACTCGTGTCTGCCTGCTTGGCAGATCCTGCTTACCCCCTTACCTAACTCTTAAATCAAGACAAGACAGCAAACCCCCAACTAAGCCCATGAAAATAACTTTTGATTATCAGTATTACACAAGGAGTTCTCCAACGGGAGATCTGCACCTGCCAGTGTTTGCATAAGTCTGTTAAGTAAGGGCAATCAAGGGAAGCGTTGTCACTTACGCTTGTGTGTGTATGGAAGGGAAAGAATAAGTGTCGGACGACTGTAGGTTTCCTTTTATATCATCTTTCAAAACTAAGTTTAAAAAAGGTCTCTGCGAAGGCATTCTGGGACACTGCTTATGTGACAATTCATCCAACAGAATTACAAAACATGGTAGTAATGGCACATAAAGAAAAAAACATTGACAAAAAAAACATAGATAAATGCTTACAAGTTGTCATGTGTAACTTAAGTTAAGATCTTTAAGAATCTTTTTCTGGATCTTGCATAATACACTCTGAGTTTCTTCACTAATGATCCTCATAAATTAAAAAAAACAGCCATCTTAAGTCGTAGGGATTTAAGCAGCATGGCAAACTCTGTCTGTGAATTTCAATCTATTCTTTGGTTTCGGGTGACCAGCATTTCAGCAATATACAACCATATAGTGTGATCAACTGCATAAGTCAGTATTACAATGTATTCCAAAATAAACCGGGTAATAATTGCAGATGAAAATTATAAGTATCAGTCTTTTCATGTCTTAATTCCATGAATATTTGAAGTCAAAGTATAGATCTGACCTAAGCTTTCGCGAGTTGATTGGAGATGTACATAAAGGTGGTTGTATTGACGCAAGCTAGATGTTTCGATTTGTAGATGGGTGCACTGTCTGCAAAAAGGGATGATAGTGATCACGATGGTGAGCTAACGTTTCTGGGGCGTGTGCTGGCCCACCTGCCTGTCGACCCGTGCCTGGGGAAGATGATTGTCTTGGGCCACGTCTTTGGCTGCCTGGATGAGTGCCTCATCATAGGTAAGTCTATCCTCATGCGATGGCAATGGACCTCAGTTACTGCATATGCACGTGTTCACAGTCGATAGGCATGACGGCACTCATGAAAATGCATTTGTGTACGTAACCTCTAAATAATTATGTCATGTGTTTTTACTCAGCTGCCTCGCACTCGCTGAAGAGTTTCTTTGCCATGCCATCCATGCAGCAGCTTGCTGGCCACAGGTGAGTGCCTTCATCAGAAATACATGCAGATATTGGATTTGTGAAAAATCTATTTCTTTTTGCACTGAGTAATACTCATCATTCCAGGAGCAAGCTGGCCTTCACCCGTGGCACACCAAGTGATTCCATAGGTTTGGTCAATGCCTTCAAGGTAATGTATTGCCAGTGAGTTCAATGAATTTACATATCAGACTGATGCCTGTTTTTAAAACCCCTTCCTATTCTACTCTCAGGAATGGCAGTCATCCAAAAAGAAAGGACAGCTGAGACACCCAAAGGTGACGGAAACACTAATACTTTCAAAATCTGGTTTTCTTTATGTCCTGAAAATATAAATAGTGTGCTACTATTGAACAGAGCCTTTTCATTCATTATTCATGGTAAATTATTTTAAAGATTGCGATTGGCATGTACATACGTGCTCTATTGATAGGGAATCCATATAGCACAGAGTGAACTGCATTTAATACGTGTCTCTCCGCCTACGTTAACATTCAAGCTATTCACTAAAGCTTTTTTTTATGGGCATTACCAGTCAGTGCAGCACCGCCTCTCATTTGTAATAATTTCTTGAAGCTTAAATAATCGTAACCGTTTGCTGCTTTCTTCTCTTAGGATGAGTTTGTCTGGGGGAAAGAGAACTTCATTCAGATCAAGAGGATCAGAGAGGTAAACAGATGCCGCAGCGGACTGTCACATGAGTGTATCGGGCATCAACCAGTGTAGTATAAGTGAACAACAGTCATTAAACCTATATTTGGTGTTATTACAAAGAATGAAACTTTACGTAATATGTGTTATGCTGATATACTAATATAGCCTTTTAGTGCACGACTGGCCATTAAAAGATGTCTTGTCTTAAACCTCTGTTCTTGATCAGATAATTATGATTTAGATGTAAAATGAAATGGCTCATCAGAAGTAACCCACTTTCCAGGTTGCAGAGCTGTTCGAGGAGCTGAAGAAGCGTGTGTCCCAGTTCAACATGAATGTGCCGGAGAGCCCCCCGTCCCTTGATTACTCCAGCACACACCGGCAGAAGTTCATTCTTCAGGTTAAAGAGGGAGCTATGCGTTAGACCACCTCAGATCGTGTTGTCCCTGTAAAATATATATTCAGTTACACCAAACCAAGACACACCAAAATATAGTACTGCTCTCTGCCTCAGGTGGTCATTGCTGGTGCCCACTACCCCAACTACTTTGTCCAGGGAGAAATGGATGACAACCTGGCCACCAGGGAGTTGTGTGGCTTCAACCCCAGAACAACAGTGATGGTATGACCCATAGTGTTGGGTAGGGCTGTATTGATGTCTAATATCGGTCCAATACTAACTCAAAAAGATGGATCTGGTATTGCTGACAAGATACCAAGTTGATATTTTATTTTAGTAGTCAATAACCATTTGTTTTTGTGCATTACATTTTATTTTGCAAAGTTAAGAAAGCGTGTTTAAGTCAAGCCTAATGCTTCCCCTCGCATAGAGGAATGGAATCCGTCTCTTCCACACAATGAGGCACTCAGAGCTTTTATTGAACATTGGTATCGGATCACTATTCGCATCAGCCGACACTCAAAGCCCGAGGTAGCGACTGAATTGGTCAAATAGTTGGGTCTCTGGTTGAGAGCCAAAAAGTGGTTACTGTTCATATTATCATTATTTTCATTGAAACTTGTGTAATGACATAGGCGTTAAGTAATTTGTCTTTTCGCCTCATTATAAAGCATGTAGTGGTTTTATAAAATAAAAACAGACCACGTGTTGTTTACAGCTGAGGCACCTCCCTCCATACCCATTCCTGTACTACAAGCAGCTGCGGTCTCTGTTCCGTCTGTGTGGACAGATCAAAAACATTTCCTTTGAGAGCTCCAGGTAGCAAAACCCTACTTTTAATCTGCTCCATTTCATTTTAACAACATTGAAAGGTGAAAACGAATAAGTGTGTGTGTGTGTGTGTGTGTGTGTGTGTCTGTGTGTGTGTGTGTGTGTGTGTGTGTGTTTCTTATTTCTTTCTCAGAGCATATATGGAGTTTCACAGGACAACAACCAAAGATGAGGGGATCTTGCCTGAGGTGTCTCTTGCCCTCCTGGCAAAGCAGAGTGATATGAAGCTGTCTGTCTTCCCAATCGAACAGATTGACAGCTTTGAAGGACGCCAAAACATTAATAACATAAAATCTGCACGGTATGGCACTCTTAACACATGACGACCATTCTGCATGCAGAAAACGTCATAAGAGCACGTATTGTTTACTCTTTGGAAAGTGGAACCCGCTGCACCACAGGATGCATTGGTCAGTGCTGCTGCATGCAGTCTTAATATAATCTGACATTTCCACGCTCTGCATGACTCCAGCTATCACTTGGACTCAGGAGAGGGGAGGTTTGAGGCAGAGCTAGCACCAGCTTCTTCATACCTCCCTCTGGGTAGGAAATGGGTAGGGCTGCAACTAACAATTATTATAATAATCAATTCATGTCGATAATTCATACAGTGAATTGGATTTAAAAAAAAGAAGCATTAATTTGTTTATTATTAAAAACGGAACTAACATTCACAGTGCAGAAAGTGCAGAAACAGGTTGTTGTACTAAACAATAAAAAATGGACTAACTCAAAAACATGTATGCTTCCCTTCTGTCAAAAATATATATTTTTTTTAAATCTGTGAGCAACACGCAGGTTCCAATAAGGATACAAAAAATATAGGAATAACAATTGTGATTTAAGTAATTTTTATTTAATATACCATTTAGGAACAGCTGCCATGCAACTAACTTAACTATTAACAATGGTTATAATATGAGGCAACATCAAAACAGTAATAAATAGTAAGAAAATCAAAGTTTACTTGTCAAATGTTCTTTTTCTGTGCAGTGTGAATGTGGACCTGCAGAGCCAGTCTGTCTGCCCGGTGTCAGTGGTTAGCGGGAACATCAACCCGAAGGAGCTACCCCCGAGCCGCCTGTTTGCGGTCAACATCACACAGGTCAGCCATTTTCTTTTTACGTTACATTACATGGAGTTTAGCTTTTATCCAAAGTGACAATAAGTGCATTTTAACTTGGACAAACAGGCCGATTTCAAAATCTAGTTGTTGGATTTTTGGATCTCAAATGTTTTTACCCTCTCTAATCTCTGATCTTTGCGTCAGGTTCTGGATATTGGGCATTTCTGGGGCTTTGGAGCGGATGAAGCCAGCTTGGTGAAGCAGCGCCATCTGACAGGAGAGATAAACTCGCGGCAGCTGCTCCCTCTTACTGTGTCGCTCTACCCCAACCTGCAGTGCCTGGCTCCGTACTCTGAGGCCAATGACACGGACATGTACTACCGCGCCAAGATCCTGCACATACGTGGCAATACAGTTGAAGTAAATATTGCTTCAAAATGTTGCAACCATTCCTCAGCGGATCTTGTTTACTTATTTTCTTTACTGTCTCATTTTTCTATTTTAAGAATCTGTTGTTAGAAGCTCATCACATCATAGAAAGTCTGTGCATAATGGATTTCCACGCCATACCTTTGGATTGTGTTTTAGTATAGAAGCGTATTTCAGATCAATTACTAATTTCATATCGCCTTTTGACCATCAAAAAGATATGTTGTTGTCCTGCAGGTCTTCTTCTTGGATTTTGGCAACACTGCGGTTGTTGCCTGCAGCAGCCTCAGGGAGCTCCCCGCTGACCTCCAGGCTCACCCATTCCAGGTATCAATACAATAGTGGTCCGAGAATTGCGTATCTGTTCACCGGTCCAACCCTGTGAGTTGACAGCAACACTCTGCTCATGGCCTCAGGCTCAGGAGTTCCAAGTAATTGGAATGCGTCCTTCCGCCAAGTCCATCATCCACGGGAACCCGTGGAGCAGCAAAGCCCGCAATCGGTTTGTCACACTACTGAAGGGCCATTCCCTCATTGTGTCGCTGTACTCCATCCTCCATGGTGTCATCCGTGTGCAGCTGCTCATCAACACGGAGACAACAAAAACCAACGTGGCAGACATTATGGTGGAAGAAGAACATGCTGAAAAGGCCGAAGAGAGCTTTGATTCCAAGGTAACCTTTTGGGAGCTCCGGTTGTTTCGGGTGAAATGTATTGGGCAGTGTGTAATATGGAAGGAAATCAATCATTACCGGTCCTACCTAATCTAAATAAGTACAAAGATTTAACATATGATAGTACAACAAGATGCAGTTTGTTGTCCCATTTTGCGACATAAACTATGTGTGGGGAGAAGAATGATTTAGGATTGTTGTGTCGTAAGAAGTTGAGTTATCCTAATCATGCTGGCACAGATTCATAACGACACATTCAAATGTGAGATCTCATCTTTTTGTGTGCATTTCAGCAAAACCATGAATATCTGATGTCCATGTATCAAGATATGGAACTGGGCACAAGTGTCCCTTACACTACGAGCAGCTACTATAAAGAACGCAAGAAAGAGGAGAAGCAGATCATTGACAACCTACTTTCCCATTTTTCCACAAGCCGACAGGCCCAATCCAAGACAAAGGCAAGATACCCCGCAGTTTCTGGAAAATTTGGATCATATTTGTGTTAATATTACAAAGGGCTTTTTGTATCCAGAGAAAAAATCCTGCAAAAATTGGATTACAATGAATAAAAAAGGAGGGAGTCATTAGGACACACTGTATTTGAAATGCTGATATCTTGGTGTGATGATGGCATCTGCTTCTTAGTTTGTCCAGAAGATGGAGCCATTTCTGATCATGTGTTGTGTTGATTAAAAGCGCCGCCTATTCCTTCTGACGAGCAGAACAGTGACTACTGCGTGGCAGGCGCATGTGGTCATGTGACGTGTCTGACTTCAGCATTCTTTCTGCAGGTCCAGCTTCATGGCCCATACAGTCCTTACAAGATCAACTTCTACAGTTTGGGTCGCAAGACCTTGGACAAGTAAGCAATTGCTTCCATAACGGCCAAATGAACCATCCGGTCATGAATGATCTCTTTGCGTCTGCGTCTCCTCCCGCAGGAAGGTGTGCGTGGACAAATTAAGCATCAACTCCGTGATCCTTAATGAAAACCCTCAAAACAAACACCAGAGGATGCTGGTGGCCGGGAGTGTGTCAGTCAACTCAACAGGTACCATACCTCGCGTCTCCTCGTAAATACACTGTCTACTTGGTGGTGTCAAACTGAACTTTATATTGATAGCGACTTGGTACAGTAGTCTACGCTCAGTCATGCTCAGAGCGCTAACAAATGTAGCCTTTTCTAGTTTTGCACATAGAACTAGAAAGACAGAGTGGACTAAGATCACACTTAATATCTGGAGCAAAATACAGTCCGCTTTTGGGCTTTCCAAGTTCGCTTCATTATTAACGGGCATTGGATCCATGAAGGCCTTCGCACCTAAACAATCTTAACACAGGCTTTAGAAAGTGGTCAGATATGGGACTGATTTATCTCTACCAGCTATTTAATGAGGACGACCTCAAGATATTTGAGGAGCTGAAAAAGATTTCGATCCCACTAAAAGATTTCTTCCGATATCCACAATTGAGAACTTTTTTAACAACACACAGAGATTGGAGAACGTTTCTGAATAGTTTGTAAACATACATTATACACTACCCTCTTTGAAAAGCTTATGTGGCACCTACAATACTAGATTCAGGAGTGGACGTCCATCCATCCATCTTCAAAGCAGCTTATCCGAGAGGCTGGGGACACCCTTATGGCGCGTTTCCACCGAGTGGTATGGTGCGGGTCGGGTCTGTTAACCATGATTTGGCGAGCGTTTCCACCGCCAACAGTACCCTTACTTGATAGGCGTGGTGTATTTTAGAAAGTAGTGATAACGTCACTTGATAGGCGTGGTCTATGACGGAAAGTAGATTGACGTCATTCGATAGCGCAAAAACTGAAAGCTAACCGCAAACAACAATGGAGGACATAGAGCCGATCCTGTTCTTGCTTCTCCATATGTGGCTGTTTGTCACAAGGAGACAACAATCTTTGTTTGAGCAAAGGCTACATGCTGCAAGTGTGTTACGTGTGTTGTCTTTCCCCTTGCGGCACGCGCAAATGATGACACTCTTTCAACCAATCACCGTTCTGCAGTGAGTCTAGCTCCACCCTTTAGTACCAAACAACTGTGCCAGGTACCCCAACGGAAGGGTACCCAAAAAGTGGTACGGGATGGTTCGGATTTTTGGTACTATTCTCAACTTTTGGCAGTGGAGACACAAATAAAAGGGTACCGACCCGTACCGTACCGTACCGCCCGGTGGAAACGAGCCATTATTGGTCACCAGACAATCACGGGGCTGACCGAAAGACTAACAACTATTCATACTCACGTTAACACACCTACGGGCAATTTAGAGTCCCCAATCAACCTGATCCCCAGAGCACGTCTTCGGACTGCGGGAGGAAGCCGGAGTACCCGGAGAGAACCCACGCAGACACGGGGAGAACATGCAGACTCCACACAGGAAGGCCGCTGGGTCGAGTCGGACCCAAAACCCGGGAGTGGGAGTGGACAAACTATTCATCCCTTGATTTGATTTAATTTAATTTATCCTTTTCTCTTGGAATGAATCTCTCGTTCTTTCTGTGCATTGTAAACAGCACCTGAATATCATGTGTACCTGTAAGACTACATATATTTTAAAAACGGACAACAAAAGTGAAAAAGGCATGTTATGGAATTTAAAAACAAAATAAAAATGAAGTTTAAAAAAATAACTTTATGAATGTGTTGCAGGGACACGTATTCAGCTGAACGATACAACCTACATGCCAGACATCCCTGGACTGCCTGCGCTCCTGACGATGCTCTTCACCCCCGTCATGGAGTTACGGTAATTCAGACTTGTAACCACACACCATAAAAGCATGATCCAAATTCCACTGTTATTATTTCCCCACACTTTATGCAGCACTGATGAAGAGAGGACCTGCTACACCGGCGCCCTGTGTGGCCTCGGCTGGAACAGTGAAACACAGCAGGCCGTCCTACCAGAGCACAATATCGAGCTCAGCTTTGACGTCAAAGTCGATGTAGAAGACATCACAGAGGTAACTGCTGTGTTGAGACAGCACCCCTGGAGCTGTTGGGTGGTGATTTGTAGTGCGTCTCCTCAAAAGGTGACCTATTCTCAAATAGCGAGGCCTGCTGCACTTCCCCCTCCCTATGGCAATGTTTTGTCTATTACTTTATGGAAGTAGTGATAATTGTCATTGAAGATTTCTTCTCGTCTGGTGTTTGGTTCTTGGCATCATTTCGAAAGCTAATGATGCATATCTAACAAACTGTATGATAGCAGCATTAAACACCATATTAAATGCCACCAATATTCTATGGTGCATTGATGCCTACATGATGGTGACGCCTTCTCTTTTGTGTATTACTCATAAGTTGTGTGTTTTATTTCTAAAGATAAATGCCTTGCGAGTGGCTATAAACACCCTGGCGTGTGAAGGGCCCGGTGGGACCCTGCACCTGGGTCCCGACAGGATAAGCGCACTGCAGGAGGACTGCAGGGAACGCCTCATAAGGTGTCACTTACATTCCCACACAGAAAACAGTGATAAGTTCCATCAACGTGTATGGATTTTCTGATCGGTTTATATGATGTAATGCAGGCTTTTTACTAAGTCGCCGCCAAGGGAAGCTGTCACTCCAGTGTACTACGAGAAAAGTGATAAATGGAACCAGGTATGATCAATAATTATTTTTTTTATTTGATCATTAGCATTGACCGTGCATGTTTTTAAAAGTGTTTTTATGTATTGAACGAGCAGGTGGATCCAGCTTTGAGGATGGATATTGCAGAGCCTGGTGGAGGAAGGGCCAGAGGTGTTTTCTTCCAGCTGCACCCAATCACACTTCTCAACATCTAAAAACAGCTGGAAACAGTTGTACTTTTTGATTTGGAATAGATCATGTTCTGATAGGTCTTAAGGCTTCACTTTGTTTTTATGTTCAGAGTATTTAGGTTCACATGGGTCTGTAGCTCAACAGTTGCCAAGTGCAAAATCCTTAATTCTTGCTTTGACTGCATCTACAACTGGTGTAATTATTCCGTTGGAATATGTTTCTGCAAATAAGAAATGTAAAAGTTCATTCTGTATAGCTCTTTGTAACCGCAGGCTATTAAAAATAGTTCTTTGCATCAGATGAGGCTGGTCAGTCTTCATTCAAACAGTCTCATTGTGACCCAAATATACTTCCACATTGTGTGTGAGCACACACACTAAACTACTACTCAATGAGTGTAGTGCGTCTGTGCCATAATTCATTGGCTTGTATTTTTAGCTCATCATTCCAGGTCTCCCCTTCGAAGTGTTAACTTTCGTGTCACACACACACACACATATCTTCACTCCTTTTGAAGTCATCTCATTAATTTGAACTAATCAGTAAAGTGGCTGAAGAGATGTTATACATCAAGGTACATTTATTGTTCTTGTTCTTGTAATTAAATACATGGTGTAAGTGCAAATAGTTAAAGAGACCATGGTCTAAAGAACTACAGAGTATAGCTGAACATAGTACAAAGTTGGACAGTTATTCAAACAAGCTAAATATCACAAGATACTTCTTGTCTTCATAGTAGTTGTACAACAGTACCTCAAACATGAGCATGTGTATTTTTCCTTATGGTTATACAAAAGCAAAAACCCTACAATTACCACATCTAAGACGCATATTATTAAATTATATTGTGCTTTGAAACACCCAAAGGAAATCATTTTTGCTATTTATATATATAGACATATACTGAGAGAAGCCCTGTCGGCTGACTCGGAAACATGAAGCAGTATTTAACATTGGCAGCAGGGCACGTCTGTGGGCATTTAGCTTTTTCTGTGCCGAACCATACGGTTTGTGGTAAGCACTGCAAAGCAGAGATGTAGCGTGATTTAAGAACTGCACAAAAGATCAAATATTTACCCAAGGCTCGACTTCATGCACTTTTAATAATAAGCAACACAAAAAAAAGTCAGTTTTCTTCTTTTGTTTTCTAGTCGTGTACTTGTCTACCTAGAAACAGGATTATGTATGTGCGACTGTGTTAGTGTTTGGACTGCTATACACAGGGTGGAGGTTTCTCCTGTGGATGCTTTTGGAGAAGACCCAAGATGACGCAGCACGATGCCCCACGGATGACGACCAGGCTCTTCAACGGTTTATCGCGCTGCTCCAACTGAGCTGGGCTGTCATCTTCCTCGGCGAGACGCACTCCTCTACTCCTCCTTCCTCTTTGCCCCGGGGATCTTTGCCTGGATCCTGTTCGAAGTAAACGGTATTTATTCAAGCAGAAGTTGTTGTTTTTTTGTTTAGTATAGCCCGAAATGACCAATTCTCCTAAGAGGGCTTTACAGCTGTGCTTCTTGTACTTTATTTCAAACCTAATGGTTATGTTGCTATTGTTTGTATCCCACAAGGGGACCTTTGACCCTAAACCGTCTGAATGGCAAACACTCACTTCCCCACCACAGAGTTGACATGGGTCCGTATTAGTCCCACGTACTGATCGATCTGTGCCTGGAAAGAAAAGCAAAGTGAGGGGTGTGAATCCCAGACGGTGTTTTGCAAACTCGACTCATTGCGATGCTCAAATTCCCACCTGATGTTTCTCGTAGACCACGGGCATGCTGAACATGGACACCACGGCTGTAGAAGCACGGAGAGAGCAACAATTAATTCTGACACCAGCGCACCGTAACGACCGCCGCTTATCTAAGGTAAACTGGAAAAGTAAACCGAAAACGCACACGTTGGACAAGTGAAGTAAATATGTCCAACTAATGACTTTTTAAGGACATGCTGTACTCCTCTCGAGTATATATGATGCAATATGCCTTCGTTATATGTCTTCTGACTACGAAAAAGTCCAAGCGTGCGTGTGTGCGTTTGGTGAGCGAGCCAACAACAGCGCTCAGAAGTTGGTTCAGTGCAGCGCGCCGTGAGTCGGGGCGACCTCACCTAGGATGAGCAGTGTCAGGCCGTTGAAGAGCGCGCCCACGTAGGTCAGCAGCCACATCAACACGGCGAACTGAAACACACAGACGTGACATGTTTTAATTTTTTGTAACCCGCATGTCCCACAGCACTACACCTGAAGGTGGTGCAGTTTGGGGCTTACTCATAGATATTGTCATCCCGTGCTAGGGATGCTAAAAGAGAAAAAGGCAAGCGAAGTGTGAGGCAAACCTTCAAGGAGTCGATCAGGTCTTGTACGAGGAACAGCCTACGGAGCTCCTTCATACAGGTGTTGGTGTACAGCAGGATTTTGTCGGCATATTTACTGATCTGGTCCTGGGATAGAGCAATTTCCACCTCCAAGTAGGCCCTGGCGACAGAAACACAGACACGTTCGGTCAGCTAAAGCTGCGGACCCTTTCACAGATATCGAACAAGGTTTTGTTTGACTCACTTGAAAGGGTGTCCCTCGTCGGTCTTCTGCACAGCCTGCAGCACAGACTTGTAGATCCGGAAGCTGATGCTGGCAGAGAGGGCCGCCAGGGCCAAGTAGGCGCCGACGCTGACCACGCTGAACTGGGTCAGCGAGAAGAGAAGCAGGAGCACGCTGCTGAACACGGCCCCGGACTGCTTCACGTTCCTCCAGTAGAGCAGGTCAATGGCTGGAAGGGAAGGACGAAGCGAGGACAAACTGGGTTAGGACCGAACAGGCAGCGGGACGCTGAACGCTCTCGCCGGTACAGGCGGGCGCAGACGTATCCGTTTCAAAGCGAGTCGGACTGCTGAATTACACACACGCACACGCACCACACATTTGGGTCAACTATCTGGAAGCTGTTCACAACCCGATGTCCTCAGAGAGCCTCCGTTGTCACGTGATCCTGATTCTAACCCAGCTTTTCCTTTCGGTTCCACTTGGCTGTGGAGCTCTAAGGCGGCGTCAAGATGTCTGAGGGATGATTTGCCAGTTCGGTGTCTTCACTCATATATATAAATAGCCCAACCTTTGTAGAAGATAATGCCCGGCCTGCACTCGCCTCACCAGTGTCTCAGGCTGCGTTGTGACAGCCCGGACCTGTGCGCATTCGTCGTTTATATGACGTGTCCTTATGGTCAGAGGCACCTGGTCCCTTCTCATACGTATACAAACACACATGCGGAGGGAACGGTCTCACACACCTGCACTGGCTGCTCACAGAGCAGAATTAATGATTGACCTGCAGTACAGCTCAGCGAAGCCAGCGGCAGAAATAAAAGCGCTATCAGCGGTTCACAGATAACGGTTCAATGTGACCTGGACAGACGAGCAGATTTGTGGTCAGCGAGGAGGGACAACGATGCTTCAATGAAGTCCCTTTTTTTAATGCGGTGCAGCGTCATGATTGGCCTGAAACGCGTCCGCCATACAGGGATAAAAGGGGCCTCACCCCCCCCCCTTCTTTGGGCACCGGGGCCTGTAATAGAAAGCCACTAGCAGAGATGAGCGCGAGAAGTGATAACTGAGGATTAGCCCAGTGTACCATTACAGCCGACACGGTCCTCCTCCGGCAGTCGGAAACACAGACATGTTTCCATGAGAACTGTCAGCTGCTCGTTTCACCCCTGCTCAGCCAGCCGCCTCGACCACCGCGGTGCTGCCGGGGTGGGCCGTGCATCGGTTTGGTACGAACCCCTGGGTATCCTTCACGTCACATTAAGCACCACCGGTATGCTAATGCACACCTTTGTGTCTGGGCAGAAGAGAGAAGCGTGGCCCAGGTCTCTTGGGTGTCTTACTTCTTTCTGAACTGAACGCCCGCCTGCTCTAATTTTAGATGTGGGGCCGTGAGCAGCATAGTGATGACGGCCATCTTTACTCTAAAAGGCATCTATGGATGCCAAAAAGGCAACCTGGGTGACGGAAGAACGGCCGGAAACAATCCCAGCTTCCCACGCACACCAACCTTCCAGTACGGTGAAGCCACATGCATATTAGTTTTCTTCTCACAAAACCAATAGTGACTTACTGTACCCCCCCACTCCCCCCTCCCACCATCAAATCAAAGACACTACTCAGTCACAAACCGTGAGAACAGGACCCACGCGCTCTGGCTGCCGTATGTACACCTCTGACCAGCTGTCCCGTGTTGGATGTTGACATACAAACCACACAGGTAGCACACGCAGCAGCTGTTAAACACACAGACATCCACAACAGGCGACTCTGTCATCGACAGCGACTGGGCCTCGTGATGCGCCCACAGCACCCGGACTGAAAAAGCTTTAGCTAGTGCAGCAGAAGCGGGTACTGACCTGCGGGTCCCATGGCTGAACAGGGAAAGAGGCAGCTGCTTTATCCACGGACAAAAGGAGAGCACTGAGGGGGGGGGAGAGCCCCAACCCCGTGCACAGGAGGGGCGGGGCCACAGCCACACCAGCAAATCAGCATTTGGCTGTGCGGGAGAGGGGGGGGACTGGGAGGGGGAGGGGGGGGCGAGTGAGAGAGGGCGGGAGGAGGGGTGTCCATGGGGTGCGGTTGCCGAAGAATCACATTGCAATTCGACACACACACTAAAACACACACAGACATTCTCTCTCTCTCTCTCTCTCTCTCTCTCTCCCCCCCCTCTCGCTCTCTCTCTCCATGTGAGTTCTTTCATTCGCAGGCTTTTTAAATGCTGCCCAGCTGACATGTGACAGGCTGCCAAGCAGCGGCTAAAATACAGAGCTGTGTCAAAAATAATTGAATCAGTCATTTTTTTATGTGCATCATGTGACTTAATTAGCTTTAAGTCATTAGATAAGACGACTAGCGTAGCATTGCATGCTATCAAACCGCATACTGTAGCCATACCCAACTCCCCCCATTAAAACGCTTCTGTGGAAAAGGTTTTATTGAGCACCTGCCTGATGCAGTTGCCATAGTTACCATGCTCCATTTTCTCTCCACCACTCACTGAGAGATGGAGAGAGGAAGGAAGGGAGGGGCCGAAATTGGAAGAGAGAGCGAGAGATGGAGGTTAGAGCTGCCCTGGGAATCTGAATCTGGGGAATCAGCATCACATGATGCGTCTCCACAGCCAGACACATGAAGACAGCCTCTTCCTTTATGGCGGAGCACAAAGGGACAATGGCAGGTTCTACACAAAGACCTGAGACTTGAGAAAGACGGTGTTTATAAAAGGCTTAAAGATTGACTTGATTACAACGTG